TCACCGTGCTAATCACCTCCTGGCGAACTTGTGCCATATTCCTAGCCATCCACAACCCTGGCAAATATAGACAGACACCCAGCATGCTAACTTGTTTTGATTGTGTTTTTATTTTTTATATATCTGTGCTTGGGATATATTTTTGAGTATTTTTCTACTTTTGAATGGGTGCCCTCACTAATCCTCTATATTCAACTGAGTACCATTTGACCTAAAAGTAGGAATCAAACCTTAATTTTTTCATCATCTAATTTGCCCAAATACATGTCCCCCCACAATATACAGTCAAACTGTGTTAAACTGCCAACGTTTCTGCCATAATATTTTGGCAGTTTACCCAGGGTAGCAGTTCAAGGGGAAACAAGAAAAAAGGGTGGTGCATGGAAAATAATAGCAGCACGGATAAGTTGAGCAAACTAATTTATTTGAGTTTTAAAGCATTCCATTCAAAATTTTCTGGGATTGCACAATTTCACATGGAAGAGTATTCAGAGATTAAAAGAGATTGACTGGGATTAGAACTGTTTTTTTGCATTTTTGAAAAAAAAAAGTCCAACCTTCTGTGTCCTTGGGTGGTGAGACAAAACAGTTGCTGAAGATTTTAGACAATGATATTCAAGGGTTTCATTGACATGAAACTGTGAAGGATGTCACGTATTTGAGGATGAATTATTTTGGCTATTTATAAAAAAAAAAAAAAAACGAGGAAGCTGGCTATGCATCAGAAGATGATAACCTTCATGAGAGGAAATGAGTTCATTTGTTCAAGGAGAATTTATTTTGGCTTTTTATTTGAAAGAAAAAAAGAAGGCCATGCATCAGAAGATGATAACCTTCATGAGAGGAAACCAGAAAACCAGGTTTCCAAAGACAAAAACCTGGCTGAGAGACAGGAAACCAGTTGGCAGTTTAAAGGGGGAAAATGAATGTTGGGAGCAGGTTTGGAGGGGAAAAATGTTGGCAGAGATGGTAGTTTATCCTGGTTGTCTCCATCCTTTCAAGGTTGGGACATTTTGTTTCCAGGAAAAACTTGGCAGGAAGTGGGGGTGGTGGTCTAACAAGGGGCAGTCTATCCAGGTTGCACTGTAATAGTGATTGTAGTTATACAAAAATACTTCAGAAAAGTTCTTAATGCAGGTATAGTCAAGGTATGGTTTAACATGCAATATCAGAAGCTATGATATGAGGGCTGTCAGCTCAAATTCCACCTGATAAGAATTTAACCTAATGCTATTAAATGGAGCGTCTTTTGATTTTTGAAAAGTTATCAAAATGCTATAAAATTGTTGTGTTAATTTGGTAAGTGTAACAATTGTATTATAAAAATGTATTTAAAACCCTGAAAGGAAACTCGAATTTAGGATGTGCACAGCTGCAGATATTTTTGTCCTTCCTGCACTCAAGCCCAGACCCCCTGAGGCATCACCACCTGTTGGGGGCCAGGACAGAGTTGAAAGCATCCTTGGGAGCAGCTGCNCAGCATTACAGTCCAACACTTGAACACTCTAAAGGAAGATCTGGTAGAAAGTTGTGTGAGAAAGCAACAGCAGGAGCAGAAGGAATTTTCCTACAGTTCATTTGCAAACTGGAAGCATCAGAAATATTTTACAGGTAAGTGAATTTTTGCGGGACCAAGCTTCTTTGTCATATTCACTGTGTAGAAATAAAACACACATGTGAGATGGACTTACCCACTTTTAAAAAACGTCCTCTTCCCATTAAGATGATAACAAGGAAATCTACTGATCAAGAGAAGAGTGAATACTGTACATAAATTGCAGGCTCAGGTGTCATGCTTTTCATCATATTTTCTTGAGAAGTAAGGAACTCTGATACTGCGTATAAAAAAAATTAAGTTGCCTTTTGCAAAATGAGAAGAGCTATTTAGAGGAGATGCTAAATTATGACTCAGTCTACTTTTTTGTTCAACTGAAGCTTTGAGAAAGTGGGTCTTCTCTAAAGAATGGGTCCAGCAGAGTTATTCAATGCAACTCACCTATACATATCTAAATTTAAGTGGTATTAGGTACTGTATTAAAAATTCAAACATGCATTGATGAAGCAATAAAAAAATAAATTCTTAGGCTCTTCAAAAATAAAGCAGCAAAGCAACTGATGAGACCTAAAAGTAAATATGTTTAAAAAAAGTTTAAAGCTTGGTTTTGGCAAAACTGGGACTGTCAACAATTTTCTTCCAACCATTATGTGGCAGACCAATGGTTTTTTATTTTCAAAATTCAGACTCCAAGACCACAGAAGTGAAGTATAAACATGAACATATCAAAATAACCATAGTCCAGGGAAGTTGTTTTCTCTCAGCACATGGATTTGCAGCTTTAAAATGTTCTCCATACACTGCATTCTGCATTCTTATGATAAAATTAAAATTTATATTTTAAAAATCAAGTTTTTCATCCCAGGAATCTTTAACTTGGGGCATTCAGCCTAGGCTGCATTTTCGTGAGGTTCTGTCAAACCAAAACATGGTTGCCCTAAGAAAAACACTTTACCCTTTCTCCTCTGCAGGACAAAGAAGATCCCACTCCATTCCAAGGGTTAAACATGATTCAGGTGTAAACCCTAATGCAGGAATGGGTTATTTCCAATTGCAGGGCTAAATCAGGATTTTCTTGGGTGGACCTGTGTTTTATTTTTATTCAAGGCCATGAAAGCCCAGCCCGGTGGGTCAGGAAATTGTCTGGGGAAAAAATGTTGGTGAGATTTCTAAAAGTCAGACTTTTTCTACTAATATTTTGTGGCCTCTAAATGGAAACTCTTGTTCTAGCACCCAAAATTTTAAAAATTGAGAACCTGCAAATCATGAAACTGATACAGACAGGGGATAAAAACAACTCTGCCTTGGACATGCATTTTTTATTGAAAATGTTCTGTGCTTTTTTAAAAAATACGCCAGACTTTGCCCTGGATGTCCTGGGCTGATTTTTTTCAGCAGTCCATGCCAGCACCAACTTTTGCCGAAAAAATAGTGACTCTTCTGCTCAAGGGTTTAAAAAAGCCTACTGCAGAAAAGTAAATTATTACAGGTGAAGAAATGCAAAACAATTCTGAGGAAGAAGTCAATTTCCTACAAAGGCTGTTCCCACCCGCATTTGCTCTTCGACGCTTAGAATGGCCACGGTTTGTACCTTTGCCTTCCCAACCTACTGGAAGGAAGGTTTTCGTGTGGCGTAACGATGTGAGGGACTTGTTGAGTGTGACTAAACGCGAATGCCGGGAAGTGGAAGATGAGATATTTCTTCTGCACTGAAGCTCTGAGACCCTTATTTCTCAAACTCATGCAGTTACTAAAATAGGGCTGCCAGATGCGTACAGTACTTTAAGGCTTGATTATCAGGATCACTGAAAAGTCACCTCCATCCTATGAAGTCTGAAAGCAAGAAAAATATGAATAGAAAACTTTTGATGAACACTAAGCGGCCAGGTATTTTTTCATAGCTTTTATAGGATTTTTCCAGGCAGTTTTTCCCTGCAGGATTTAAGAATAAAAGTAAAATTTAGTAAATCATCACTTAATTAAATTAATCCAAGGCTATGGCACTTTTAACTTGTAATCCAGCAAATAATTTGTTATGGGTAGTGCTGGGCGTAACAGTTACGCATTCAAAACACATTTGTTATGCATAACTGCTATGACCAGCTTCTTTTGAAAGGCCTTTCTTTTTTTTCTGTGTTGCTGTACTGAAATTTTTTTCTGAAATGCATTCAGAATGCATTTTTAATGCATTCTGTAGTTATGCCTATACTTTAAAACGCAATTCAAAATGCCAAATTATTTGCTGGGAAGTCATATAGTCACAGTCCACAAACTCACAGCAATGCACCTCTCACAATTCTATGATTAACAAATGACATTTGTCAAGCTGGAAGATTGAACTGCATTGATCTAAACTGGAGTTTGATGAGCGACATGGATTAGAAAAATACTTGCTTTACTGGGATTATTTCACTTAGATGTACAGTATTATGCGCGCCAAATTGAGGTGCGAAGTGGCTGTTTTGCTCTTAGACCTACATTGCTGCAAACTCTGTGATGTAACTTATTTCAGGTTGGTATGTGTTTTAAGAAAATTAGGAAAGAAAAACGGAATTTCGACATGATTTCACATCTTTAGGTATAAGCGGACACGCAACTTTCTGCGCATGAGTTTTTATGTACTCGAAATAAATCAGAAATATGGTGTTTTGAAAAGTGACTGTTTAGACCCCCACGTTTTTTTTTCATATTTAAAGTCACTGCTCAACAATAAGGAAAAACTTTCGAGTCACAGCCGGATTTTCTCATTGATTTCACAGTTCGATGAAAATTTGTCATGATGGCTGAGAAATTAAAATTGTGACGTTCTTCAGAATATAATTTATCTCATGTGGTCCATCGAAATTTTCAAAGTTTGTGAATGATTTCATAAATGGTTTCTATTGTTGACTTGGTCACTTTCTGGCCAAATGACCTCAAATAAAATGAAGTACAGTATAATTGCGACACTTAACTTCTATTTATTGCAGTTTATTCCCTTTAGATTTCAGAGTGCAGGTCACAGCTTACAGTCCTTCAGCCACATGATGGAGCTAGAATGACTTACATACAGATGGACTCCCTTTCAACAATCTTGTTTTCAACGATTTACTCTATACTGTATAATGATTTGTTGTAGTTTGGGGTTCATTCTGAATGCTTTACGGATTTTCTACAACAAAATTNATTTCCACAACAAACATTTTTCTGAATTTCGTTGTAGAGCGATGAGCGAGTCCACCTGTACAATAAAAGTTTTTGCAATGCAGGGGGACTCTTCAGACAACAAGCTTCTCTACACAACGATTTTCTCTGTATAACGAATTTATTCTTGGTCCTGTAAGGTTCTCTCCCCATGTTATATCTCTTCAACAAAATTCTCTGTACAATTTTTTTTTTTCTGTGGTCTCATGAATTCTGTTGTAAAGGGAGTTGATCTGTATCAAGTGCACATATAGCATTCAGGATGTGGAATTTCATGGAGTATATATCGGGAATGAAGGGCTTCGGTAATACACCAAGAGCAGCGGGGGAAGCAAATGACAGAACACGGGTCCGACGCGTCAACACGCTTGCTGTCGGGTTTTCCGGTCGCGATCATGGGTTTTTCGCCGCTCGTGTTTTTTTTTTTTGGTAGTGCAAAAAAAAAGAAAGAAGGAAAATGCACGCCTCTTCCCTGGCGAATCAACAGCGCCATCTTTCGTTTTTACTTTTTCTTTCATTTTCTCTCCTCTGCCTCGTTTCCGGTGCTTTGTGTATAGTCGAGATCATCTCCGTCGTCGGCTTCTTTATTCTCATACAGGCATTCGTGGTTTCCTATAGCGTTTTCGAATGGTTATTGATCAACAGTACAGACAGAAGACTTTCGCCTGTCTTGACAGTCTCGTCATTGTCTTCTTTTTTGTTTCATGAAGCTTTTTTTTTTATTGGCTGCTTGTGGACCAGCTGATTTTTTAAACTGTGTCTACGTTGGAAAATACTTGAAAGCCGCTTTTTATATTGGTACTGTATACTTGGGTCGGTTGCGTGAATATTTCTCCACCTGGGTTTGACCTTCAACTAGAGTTCGGAGACCCTCGTACAGTATATGAACAGTGTATTTTCTGCAGCTGAAGTGTATTTTACTATTGCTTATTGAAAGAACTTTATAAGCATCCAACTGATCTCAATTTTCGGGGGAAAAAAGTGTCATGTTGAATCACAAATACTGTTCAGTACTTGTAGAAATTTCTGATGAACAGAAATTCTCAGGGGATAATACAATACCTACTTCGAATAAGATTGAAGTACTGTAAGTAACTTCCCTTTTTGAGTAACTTCAGATAAGGGACATGCACAGTATAATGTTTTTTATGAGTGAGTGAATCATATTCATTTCGTGTAACATTTTTTTTATGCATCGACTGTCAGGCCTAAAAAAATTACTACTGAGATGACGTATACTATATTTACTAGAGTACAGCAAGCACCCCAATTTTCCACCCTAACATTTTATGAAATTCTATCCCAAAATCAGATTCATACCTCATTTTCTGTGACTGAAAAACTACAATACAGTAGTGAAGTACAATCTTGTATTACAAAATAAGAGACATCAAAATTCAAATTAGAACATGATTTCCAACTGAATTCAATTAATTTGCATTGTTTTGCGTTTTAAAAAGATCTTGTCAGAAATTTGACTTTACAGTACTGTATATTTAAGTGTGACGCAAACCCATACTTCTAAAATTCTAAAAAAAAAATTTTACGCGCACTCCATTTTTTTATTTCAATTTTGAGAAAAGAAAGGGTGCGTGGTACGACTGCACAATCAAGCATTCAGATTCCGTGGGGGGGGGGGGGGTATTCTGCTGTAAGGGGAGGGGGAGGTTATTCTGAGAATTCTAGATCTAAATGACAAAAATCCAAGTGTAAGCATTAAACAGATATGATTACGAAAATTAAGAATGGCAAACATAATTGAAGCACTTGCAGTGAGAAGTATTTTATTAAGATCTGCAATAATAATTTTGCAGTTCATTGCTGCTCAGTGCTCACCCGGGGTCTTAAAAAATGTGTTTGCAGAATAATTATTTTAAAGCACTTTTTTTCATTACATCAAATTTGTTAAGGGTCCTAGCAGTTCCATCACAGGGACTATGTTGAAAAAATCGGTAAACAAATTTATTTTCATCTCTAATATCAGTACAACAAATATATAGAAAATGTCCGCCAACTTTTCTTGAATTGAAACCACATGAAACTGCAGCATAAATGAGTCTATAGGATATCAAACCTCAAGAAGGATTTTATGGATCAATTAAGGCTTCTCATTTTCCTTTCCAAATACATTGTCATTTGAATTTCCTGTCCTTCCTTGTCTTTTTAACAATTTCAAGTAACAAAGGTTCACACCTGAAACATGTTGAGCAAATCAAAGTTGCTTTCCAAAAACAAAGTCAATTGAATGTCCTGTCCTTGTCTTTAAAAATTCAGAGTTTGAGAGTTTCACAGCAATTGAATCATTTTGGGGGTTCAGGTTGTGCTGTTTTAAAGCAGGAGTGCCCAACTAGCCCAAGATATGGCCTGTGGGCCAGAACTGGCCCATGGAACATTCTTGTCTTAGTCACCCCATAGCCACCATACACTTCGATTCTTCTCAAATTTTACAAACCAACCCAAATCTGAATACATTTTTCTAAAAATTTTAGGAAAATCAATTGCAAATTTCCTTCGTGTTTGTTGCTACATTTTAAAGTACAATATCATTTAAAAATATTTTAAATTTGTGCTCAATGTCAAGATATTCAATTGTTTTGACATGATCACTCAGGCCATTACATAAAAAATTGAACAAAGACCATACAACTAAACTCTTGCTTACCTGTAATCTGATTTTAAAAAAGCTTTGCAAAATGTGTATATTTTTCTGAAACCTCCACCCAGCATTAGAAAGTTGAGATATAAGCCATATTTTTTTCTTTTGGACTACAAAGACTCTCCTCCATGTCATGTGGCCTGCCACCAGTTTTGGGTTGGACACCACTGTTTAAAAGAGGCTTTTGACATGCAGGGGCTGGAAAAACAAATTCAAGTTAGGGAGGTTTTCAACTTGGGAGCTAAAAATGAATAGGTTCGACGACTGCTGTATACATCGCATCTATCCTATATGCAGGTGGCCTTTTCGACGTGACGGAAGAACCCATGGCATTGGCATTCCAAAACGCCATAGAGCGGATCAACAACGAGCGCGCCATCGCCCGCCAGTCACAACTGCGAAACATGACCTTCATGATCCCTCTGCACGACTCCTTTGCCGCGTCCAGAAAGCGTGAGTCTTTTATCCCTCGCGTGTCACAAGTCCACGACAAGACTCTCGACATTTGTTTATTTAAATAATTCGCGGCTTTGTTCCTCATCTGCTACAAGCAAGAAAATACCATTTTTCATGGCTTTGGAGTCATCTAACGTTCTTATATTCTACTTTTCATCCGCGCCGCCTCGCAAAAATGCCGCGGTGCGTTATTTGACTGCGATTGCTTGCAAAAAATAAGACGTTGGATAATGTGCGATAATTTCGCATGGAATATTGCTACATGAATATACATGAGGGTTGATTCATAAGTTTTGATGCTTTCTGAAAGAGATCCAAGGGAGTTTCAGTGATTCCAAAAAAAAATCCACTCCATAGCCTCAGCATTTGGCAACACTTTAATGCTGTTTAACATACTCTCTGCCAATTTTAATGCATCTTTTCATGCAATAAACCCACTGATTAAAATAGTGTCAAGAATCAAGTTCTATTAGTTTATTACTGTATTTACTCAAGTACCACGTGCCCTCAACTCCTCAAGTAAGGCGCACACAGGGGTTTTTCAGTTGGAAATTTTGCTAAAACCTTATCCTGGAGCAAGATGCGCACCCAAATTTTTAGTGAATGTAAATCCACAAAATTTCAAAAATAACAACAAATAATTCGAATTTAGACATGAATTGAATGAAAATCTGATCAATTTTCAACTTTTTCAGTAAAACAATTTTTTTTTACATTTGTTCCAAATTTCTCCATTGTAATTAAGTATAATGCACACATAACTTCCTAAAACTTCTTGAAAAATTTGTACCCGCTAATGACACACACCCCTTTTTTCTTCTGAAATTTGAGAAAAAAGGTGCTTGTGTACTGGAGTAAATACGGTAATCTCCTCTTCCATGACAAAAATGAGGCTGTCCCTGTCCTCAGAATCAATCCCTTCCAGGTCATTCTTCACACAGTCAGGAACAGCCAGAAGTCACAGGGTGTCTAATCAACCAGCAGAACTCAGTTTTTGGCACTGTTTTGATTGTTGGATTTATAGCATGAAAAAATGTATTGAAATCAACGGAGAGTATGCTGAATGCCACTTAAGCGTTGCCAAATGTTGGGGCTATGCAAGCGATTTTTTCTTAATTGTTGAAAATGCATTGGATCTATTTTGGGAAGCCTTGAAACTTATGAACCAACCCTTACATGAGGAATGAAATGTTCCAGACGTTGGACAGTTTCCAGGGTGGTCCAAAAAAAAAACCCCCCGTGTTCTGTTAGTTTTACAGCAGTCAAATCCAGCGTTTCAGTATTTGCTGAAAGACAAAAGAAAATGATTTGAACCGCGCTAAATTAACTACTGTACAGCATATATGCAGTAAAATCTCATTACAACAAACAAGCAATTGGGACCAGTAAAATACATGTAGCTTCGTTGTAACGTAAAATTCGTTATTGAGGAACTCTTTTCACATTGTGTCCATGGGGAAGGGAAAAAATGACTTCGTCGTAATTTATTAATCATTAAAACAATATTTGCTTGGCACCCGTGCTCCACTGTTGTATCCTGGGACCTGGAGCAATGAATGTCCTGGAGAAAAGAGCTTCTCGTGGAATTAACTCCATGCGTTTTTCCTCCACTTTTTCTTTAAATTTCAGTTTGATTAAGAAAATGACTTTCCTGTAAATCCATAAAAGGGGTCAAAGCTGGACCTTGCCTGAAACGACAAACCTACCTAATTTGAGTGTTCAGTTAAACTGAGGCTGATTCTTTCAAGTACAATCCAATTTAGACCTTGCGAACTCGAACTTTTTGGGTCAAATAAAACCTCCCTTCGTCACATTTCCAATCCCATTCGTTATTCAAAATTGGGCTGAATTCTAGATCACGTGATGGTCCAATAATCAAAGCAACCAAAAAAATGCAAATTTTCATATTTACTTGTGTACCTCGTGCACCTTTTTCTTCAAAATTGGGATGAAAAAAGGGGGCGAGTATCATCGGCAGGTGTAAATTAAAAAAAAAAAAAGGTTTCAGAAGTTTGGGTTTACATTACACAGTACTGTACTGTACTTGATTCTGATAGGAAATCTTGGACCAATTTTAACAGAAAAACTTGAGATAATGGATACAATCAAAAATTAGTTGGATCCAGGATAAATTCGCGTCTTAATTCAAATTGAGGTCTTGAAATAACAACAAAAATTGAGGGGGGGGCGTGTCTTCCTCGGGGATACAATGTAACGTTTTGACTGAAAAACCTTGGTGCAATTCTGAAGTGCGTGGTACTCAAGTAAATACGGTGATTTATTAAAACTTTCCATAAGAAGATATTATACATGCAAAGGCATCTTACTGTTGGCATAGGACATCTACGATGAACAGTTCCAGCAACTTGACCAGAATATAATTGTTCATCGATTATAACCTCATACCCACGTGAAGCAAAATTCCCCAACTCCAAAGCTTCTCAATTATAATTTATATAAGTCCCTTCAACTTTCACTTAAGGGGGGGGGGTGGGTTCAAACGTTTAAAAAATATATGGGTTGAAATTTTATTCCGTTTAATATTTGATTCCCCCCAGTTTGCGAGATGACGAAAACGGGGATAGCAGCTGTGTTCGGCCCCAACAGCAGGACGTCGGCTACCCACGTGCAAAACATGTGCGACGGACTGGGGATCCCTCATGTGGAGACCCGTTGGGATCACAGGAGTTCCCGGGAAGAACTCTCAGTTAACCTACATCCTCATCCCGAAGTCCTCGGGAAGGTAAAAACGCACATATTTCATAATTTAAAAATCAAAGATTCATAAAATCTCTCGTCGTTAATTTTCATCAGGCCTTCCGAGACATTCTCGAAATCTTGGACTGGCACAAGTTCACAATCCTGTACAGTGACAACGAAGGCCTGTACCGATTGCAGGAAATATTGAAAGTGAAGCCACCTCAGAACAAAGAGCTGAAATTGACCATCAGGCAATTGGTGCTTGATGGTGATAATAGGTAAAAAACATAATCATTAATTCAATTGAAGAGGAGGGGTTTCAACCATCCCTGTATTTAAAAGATATACTCATACGAACCATGACTTCAATTTTCTCAAAAAATGCTTAATTGTACATTATATTGGAAAATTTAGTCATCAAAGAAATGTTTGCATTAAATATTCAGCAGGTGAACACTCATTACAATGATTTTGTAAAAAAAAATGTCACTGTATCACAATATTTTTGATCCCATATAGGAGTTCCTACCCATATTATAGAAGTTCTCAAAAAGAAAATTCTCTTTAAAACATTTTCAGCTCTTTTTTATCAGGTGAAATGAACATTAATTATTATTTTTCATGATTTTAATTAGAATGACTGTAAGTACCAAACTACCCAAAAGACGTACGTATACACAAAATGACGATTATTAAATGTTTCCAAAAGCAGGAAAAATAAGATTAACAAGCTATATTCCGCAGTCCTAGAAAATTTTATGTGCGTCAATTGTTCCAGCCTTTTTCTTTCAAAATTCTAAGAAAATTATGAATTCCTTCCGACACAGGATAAATACTGTATATTCCTATGGCCATAAAAAAGGATTTAATAATTCCAGTCATCCAAAAAAATACCAAATATCATTACCTTATACTCTGTCTCTCTTGCCTTTTAAAATTTTAAAACATTAACATATTCACAACTTATGCTAGAAATATTTCATCCCGCGTGAAAATGGTAAAACCCTTGCACACAGCCACACAGTGTGCAAACATTTCCATTACAGTACTAGTAATCAACAACAAAAACTTGAATCAATTTTCCCCGGAAATGGTTTCAGGTTGTGGAAATATTGTACCGCTCAATCCAGTAACTGAAAATCAAATTTATCTACTGGTTTGAACATTTTCATCAATATTAATCAGGTCCAAGTTCATCAATTTTTCCGAATTTTCATCCCAGCACATTCAAGGCCAATTGCTAAGAGTAGTTTTATAAATTTAAAATAAAATTATATATTACTGCGGCTTCAAGCAATTTTTCACTGAACCAGCTCAAAATAATCAGCGCTTCTTTCGATGTACTGTTCTCTACATTTGTATAGGCCACATGCTCAAATTTGAAAGAAAGAAAACTGCCAAGACGAGAACAATTTTGAATTTATGGGAGAAACATGCTCCTTCTAGCAACAAAAAACACCGCGATCTTCCCGAAAGCATGTACTGTACTGTGCTTTTTTCGCACGCTACCTTTACTGTATGGAGATTCTTGAGTACTGTAGAAGCCATGCTAAATAAATTACTTTGAGAAATGTTTGGCCAAGAATCGCGCAAATAATAAGATGGAAGTACAGTATTGTACTTCCCAAGGCTTCCCGCCTTATCACGCTGTTCCTCCTGATGCACATCTATAATTCAAAAACAGTGCAAGCATCGGACTCGTTATATTTGGAAGAGTCGGTTCAATGATACACAACGAGGATTTTCTCGTATCGTTGATTCATTGTTTGAAAAATTCCCTCAATAAAGAATCTTGTCACGAAATGAAACCCCAGGTGCATCGGAATTCGGAAATGCTGCCCACACGCAGCTCGCGGAAGTGATTCCGGATCCCGCAAGTGAAACGCTTTTCCGAATCCGAATTTTCTTCGCGCGATATTTTGGCACGTGAGCCAAATACGAGGAAAGTCACGCCTATACGATGCTAATCAAGGCGACGCAGTATACAAGAGTTCTTTTCCGAAACCGTGGCGTTCGCACATCCATACGTTTCCGGCCGACGATGAATAATTCGGATGAAATGCGCCGAACAACAGCGGGGTTTCTTTTGAAAGAGAAAACCTTTCGGGTGTGAGTGACAAGGAAAGCAGTCATGTAATCATGGTTGCTCCGTTGCAGGCCGCTGCTCAAGGCCTTGAAGAAGTCTGGCGAGACTCACATCGTGCTCGACTGCCACGTTGACAAGATCTACGAGATCATGAAGCAAGCCAAGGAAGTAGGCATGTTGACTGAGTACCACAACTATTTCTTCACTAACCTGGTGAGATTTATGCATGGGTTCCATTATTTTTCCTCCTCCTAGGTACTGCATACACGCACGCATTTTTTTGTAAGAGCAGTTTTCCCTGCGACGGATAGTTGAAGATTTCCCTCTTGACCAGCGGACAATGATTCCCCAGAGCTACGATAAGGTTGTCCCAGTTGGACGCGACCTCTGATTTTTAGAGTACATATTATTGAAAAATAATCATGACCTAGCTGATATTTTTGGAGTAGGTATGATTGTAAAAGAATCGTGACATATAGCCCATGATTTTTCAAGGTTTTGGGAATTTTTCCGGATTTTTGAAAAATTGTTTCACATCACTGCATGACAAGTGAAAACTTTTTAGTCATAACCAGCATTCTCCACCCATATCTCACAGGGTGCTAAAAATTTGTTAGGCTAGCTATAAAATGGAATTTTTTTCTTGTTTTAACCATTATCAGAAATGTAGAAGAGGTAATGGATAAAACAACCAAAAAAACCTCCCCTTTACTTAGCTGACCTGACCAATTTTTAGCATCCTGTGACAGGGGTAAATACTCCGGCTGTAACTGGAAAGTTCTCACTCATCATGCAGTACATTGAAAAATTCTTCAAAAATCCGCAAAAATCCCGGAATATTAGAAGATTCTGGGCTGTTTCATGAATTAAAAAAAATCTACTCGAAAAAATCAGAAGTCGCGTCCAATTTGGACAACCCGCATATCACAGAAAATTACTGCTCATGGTGTTTCGAACTTCTGATCATGGCGTCAGACGAGAACTACAGAATTATTCTGAACTGATAAATTCATGTCACGCATATTTAACATGTCTAAAAATGTCTAATATACAATTGAAACAATCAGCTGGTGTTAAAAACAGTGGAGACTTCTGCGATTGTAGATAAATTATACGCAATGGAAGTACGTACTATTGTATTTTAAGCTTTGAAGGCGGTAAACAAAATTATGCTGTACGTTTCAGCGTCTAAAAATCTAGTGAATTCTTCGTTGGAAAGCGCGTAAAAATCTTCGCGTCATGCAATAAATTTGTCGAATTTTACCTCGCCTTTGAATTGGAAGGATTTCCACGCCGTCGACTTGCGGGACCTGTTCAGAGACAGCGGTGCGAACATCACTGGAGTGTCCATAGTCGACATTGAATCGAAGTTTGGCGAATACCTGTCGGCCGGAGGAGGCAGTTGGACTTTGGGCATGGAAAGAACGTCTCCGTCATCACCTGGATACTTCACAGGCGTCGTTCATCCCGTTGACTACATGTTCCACCAAACTGCAACACCGCTTCAATTGGCACGCATGGAAACCGCCCGGATATCGCCAAAAGCCGTCATGGTAATTCTCCGAATTCCTGCTAGAAATTGTTTACCTACATAGAGAAAAGAAAACGGTTTTGAAATGTGTACTTCGCTTCTATAAGTTACGCGAAGGTACAGGTATATAGCCAATTTAATATATTTAAACGAAAAGATAGCTTCAAACGATTTCTCAAATTTTGCTTCATCAAACAGTTTTCAAAAAGTATCCCCGTAATATCCGCGGGTTTTCAACTGAAATTAGTTTAAGAATCTCGTATTTCTTCTCCGTGAAAACTGAAATTCAGTAGATAATGAGAATTGTCCCAATGGGTACAAATAGCGAAGCATTCTACGTTCATGTGCACAAGTGCATGAATTCAACGAATTAAGCATGAATAAATGATCTCCGATGCATATTGAAAATTCCTCTGACTCGCAAACTTATCCATATCGTTACAGGTGGACTCTTTCTACAATGATTTTGTCAGCAACAATTTTCTCTGTACAGTATAGCTATTTTTTCATTGTCCCATAGGATTTCCATAATGAATTTTTCTCCACAACGATTATTTTTTCTGGCCTCCTGAATGTCGTTGTAGAGACTAGAGTCCACCGTGTATACTGCATTGACTATGGGGGAAATTCGGAACACGTTTCCTCAGTTCTTCCGCAGGTTCTCTTTTAGTATATTAATTTTTTCTGAGACCCAAGCTCCAAATGAAGATGTGCGAACCATTTCTAATGAGTTCCCCTTTCACGCCCTCTTCTGAAATTATATTTCAGACTTCGATTGCGCTGATTCACGATGCTGTTAGTTTGTTCGGAGCAGCTCTGATCAAACTGGACGATGAACTTCTCGATGGTGTGATCGTGAAACAAATGCAGTGTCACCAGGGAGCCACGTGGAACGAGGGCAGGAACTTGATCTGGATCATGAAAATGGTTAGTCACACAAACGTCAACGAAACTGGAAATTTTCTGACATTTCGTAAGCCTTCGGGATAATGGTGGAAATCCCAATTTCTCAAGCAGGGAATTTTGCCGTACTTTTTTCTTTCTCTTTTCTCCAGCTAACAATCGAAGGACTTTCAGGAACAGTGAGATTAGACGCTCAAGGGTATCGAAGAGACTTCAACCTGGACATCTTGGAAGTCGGCAAAAAGGGCTTGGAAAAAGTTGGACGATGGGAAAAGGGACGTGGTGCGAACTACACACGGCTTTGGACAGATCGAGAAGCTGCCATCAGGCAAGAACTCAAGGATAAAAACCTCATCATAACCATGATCGAAGTACGAGAACTTTGATCACAAAATTAACCACATTCATAACTCTCATTAAAAAATACGATTTCTGTAGAATGCACCTTATGTCATGTACAAGAAAAACAAGGACGAATTCACCGGCAACGATCAGTTCGAAGGCTTCTGTATCGACCTAATCAAGGGCATTGCGGAAAAGCTACACTTTAATTACACATTCCGACCGGTCAAGGATTCCAGTTACGGGAGCCGGGACAAAATCACTGGCGAGTGGAATGGCATGATCAGGGAACTGTTGGACAGGGTGATTCAGACTTCAGTGCACGCTTCAAAATTTGAACCGCATTTCACGACTTACCGAGAAGAATTTTAATTTTTGTGAAAGCGTGTTTCTAGCGTTCTTATTGTCTTGTGAGGGGTAAAATGCAAAACTCCATTCTTTCCAGGAAGCCGATCTGGCTGCAGCAGATTTGACCATCAGTCATGAGCGTGAAGAAGCCGTTGACTTCACCATGCCTTTCATGAACCTGGGTAAGGAAGCAGAAGAAAATTAGCCTAAAAAATTAAGTTTACTTGACCCCCGCACATCTTCGATTTTTATTTATTTTTTAAACACACACAACAAAAAGCAACTGACTTCGTATACGAGGGGCCCAACGCACGTTCTCGGAAGAAAAATGGAAACGGCAAACGATTGAGTTGAAAAAAAAAATGTGTTCAGAAATAACATGCTTCCGCAAAATACATCAAATACTGTATATCTAACAGAAAATGTGTCGATTTTTCTCTGCTAAAAACAATTATTGATTAGAAGAAACATTCTTCTGCAAATGTATCAAACAGGGCTGAATTTGCTTTTGATGTGCCAAAAAATGTTTTTTCTCAGCAATAACCGTTTTCAGCTCAATCGAATGTCGTTTCAATTTTAATCGCAAAACTTTTGTTAGACCCTTTGTAGGATTCGATTTACACTTTATGACTTTTCCTTTTGTTTCCCAACCATCCAAAATTTCTAAAAATACAAAAACGGATACGTGAAGATGCCTTGCATTCAAGGAAGATCTGCAACTTATTTGTTAATACTCAAGAGGTACATTTTGCTGCGCATGATACGATTTAAAGTTCGCAAATTCATTAAACGTGGCACACGAAAAAAAGGATGAGCAACATTTCTCCGAAGCAGCTGGATAATTTGAACAGGGGCAAAGTGATGTTGCGTCTTTTTGGAAAATTTTGATCCCAAGAAAAGATAACAAATTATAAGTGGGTGCTGTATTTCATTGAGGTACGCATTTGCAATTTTATCCGATTCCAGCCTGGAGAAAAAAAAGCATTCGAGAATATGGAACCACATTTGAAACGTACAAAAAAAAACGTGTCAACTCACTTCGGTGAAAGTTGTTTTTCTTTGTGACACTTCTGAGAACATAATTGCTGCATATGAATCTCGACGATGGATGCTCGTATATCATTAAATTACTCACACATGCAAGGAATGATCTGCAATTCTACATTCAACATATTTATATTGTTCGCATTGATGTCGGCTCTTCGCATACATCCAGGCATTGGTATCCTGTACAAGAAACCCGCGAAGAAACCCCCAAATCTGTTCAGCTTCTTGTCTCCACTTTCTTTGGATGTGTGGATCTACATGGCAACTGCTTACATGGGCGTCTCGATTCTAATCTTCGCTCTGGCAAGGTTCGTGATGCGATAATGAATTTACGAGAAACGGTAGTCGATTTAAAATTACGCAAGGTTTTTTTCATTTTTTTTTTTCGTTGAAAACTCACGAGTGGATCTTGATTCGAATCGACAGATTCACTCCTCACGAGTGGGTCAGCAGCCATCCTTGCAAACCGGACCCTGATGAGTTGGAAAACAGCCTCACGCTCTCAAACTCTCTGTGGCACGTGTGGGCATCTCTTATGCAGCAAGGATGCGACATTGCTCCCAAGTATTTCTTCTTCACATGTCTTCGAATCCCGTAAAAATCACCAGAAGCTTCCCCTAAAATGCTGACTTTTTTTCATCAGAGCGGTTTCAACGAGAATGGTGGCAGGAATGTGGTGGTTCTTCACTCTTATCATGATCTCGTCGTACACTGCCAACCTTGCAGCTTATTTAACCGTGGAGAGGATGGAAGCTGTCATCTCGGGACCAGAAGAGCTGTCGAAACAGACGAAAATTAAATACGGAAGCCTCGGCACGGGTTCCACCAAGGTTTTCTTCCGGGTATTGACGACTTCTTGTCAAATTAAAAAAAAAAACAAGGCATCGGAAACGATTTCAAAAGATATTCCGGAGATACATTTCTTGATCACTGAAAAATGGAAATTTTCTCGGGATGTCTCGCTTTTATGTTTGCTGGCACTAAACATTTTCCTTCAAGAAAAATTCAGTCTTTCTGAGACGAAGGCTCATTGAGCTTCCTGAAAACATTCCAAGCATGGCAAAACTCCTTGACACGAAAAAATGAACCTGACGAAAATGCATCCTAATTATAACAGTTCGAATCGAAGTGAAACGCGGACAGCACAGGGTTTTAGGTTCAGAATCGAGTTAACGTTTCTTTTTGTAGTTTTCTCGCTTCGAGATTTATTTTTACTCACTCACATACGTTTCGCAGGACTCAAAAATAGAAACATACCAAAGAATGTGGTCGGTGATGGAAAGCACTCGTCCGACGGTGTTCACCAAAACAAACCAAGAAGGAGTGGACCGCGTGAGAAGCGGAGGATACGCGTACATCATGGAATCCACGACGCTGGAGTACATGATGGAAAAGTACTGCGACCTCATTCAAGTCGGAGGTTTGCTCGATAGCAAAGGCTACGGACTCGCTTTACCTCCAGGTACCGTTTTTTAAACACGGGATTCCGGTTGGGGGTTTTCCTGCTTTCCCGCTGGAAGATACCATTTTCTGGCAAGACTGACTTCTCGTGATTTGATGTTATGACAGGATCCCCGTACACCTCGGCCGTCAGCAGTGCGATTCTGAAGTTGCAGGAAGATGGAGAATTTTTCAATTTGAAGTCAAAGTGGTGGAAAGAGAGAAACGAAGGCGCCGGCAAATGCCACGTAAATATAAAATTGACTTTATGAGAGTTACACACGTGGGGGTGATGAGAAAGTCGTGGGACTTGTTCTTTTGAATAGAAGAAAATCCATAACATATCTCCGTGAGAGGTTGCTGGACGATCTTCAGCGAACACTTGCTTTTTTCAAGAATAAAAGTTTCCTATTTTATCTTCACCCGGTGGCAAAAATAAGGTCAACGGTGGCAGAAATTAATTTTTAAGAAGAGAACTGCGAGCCTTACTTTTATTCCACTTACACCAAAGAGAATCGGCACGCCACTTTTTTGTAGTATTCCAAAAAATATACAAGAAAATTCGATAAGAAAATCCAAGATTTGATTTGTCAATTATTGCGAAATAATTTATTGTTCTTCACAAAAATTATTTACGCAATAATCGACAAATCAAATCTTGGATTTTCTTATCGAAAAGTTACACAGATTCCTTCCTTGGGCAGATATTTCTTCAATTTTCCATCTGCACTGTGTTTGTGATACAGTACTGTACACTACTGTACAGTAAAGTACTGTATTTGCAAATCCGGGCAAGGTCACCATGTTCTTAGGCGAGAAGATCGGCGTTATTCAAGAAGAGAAGCCACATTCCTAAACTTGACCTTTCCTTGTCATTCACGAAAAAGAATACAAATAAGCTGGGATTTCAGTAACTTATACTACCGAAATTAATTTTTTTATTCCATCTGTTCATCCTTTGCCCAGACCGAGACAGCCAAAGTTCGGAGTAGCAGTTCGGCGAACGAGCTCAGCCTTGCCAACGTCGGAGGCGTCTTCGTTGTTCTCATGGGTGGAGTCGGGATTGCAATCCTCCTCGCCTTCTGCGAATTCTTCTGGAAGTCAAGAAAACTGGCCATTGAAGAAAACGTGAGGGCGACTTTTTTTTTCAAACCCACACAGTGAACAAGCATACATCATTTTTTACGATACATTTACTTACCGATGCGCGTACTTTTCATCAAACTTCACGCTCACAAAATAAGATAAGAACGTTTTTGGGACGCCTAATATTGCGTGGGCCTTGCTCCACATACCCGAAAAAGAGACACGTCGCAAGTATTCGATCACGATTACACTGGAATGTAAAAAGTAAAATCGTGTCTCGTTTTCTACAATTTTATACCGGTAATACTTTCATTTTGTTCAATACTTCATCACTAAAATGGCAGCCGTGCTCAGAAACCACGATACTACGCCTCGTATTGTCTCGCGGAAATAAAAAGAGACGAGAATCCAAGCAGGGGAGATAATCGAAGCAAGACAAATTTTATCCAACACTTATCCGTATTTAGCCGAGCACCAGACGACCCTTCTTTCCAAAAAAACACCGGTTTTCGAATAAGAATTTCGGTGAATGAAAACTAAGGTGCACGTCTCATGCAGAGATTTTTTTAACATTTTTTGCTAAAAATCGAAGGTTTGCGTCTTACTTGAGGGTGCGTGGTACTCAAGTAAATGCTTTCAGGTAAAGGAAAGTTTCAAGTACCTTATGTCTGCTTTCAAGTAAAGGAAAGGTACATTTTCTCAACATTACCTTCCAGGGAAATTATCAGAATAGGGCAAACCAGTGCCTGAAATGTTCCTGGCGTTTAATCATTGACTAGGTCTCATTTTGGGGAGGAACTCAGCACAGTACTGTATAGCATTTACCGTACATCCGCGCGAACTTATCAAATGTTCTCTTACAACATCCTTACTCGTCGATGTTTCTGCAGGCATCTCTCTGTCAGGAGATGGGAAGAGAACTTGGGTTCGCCCTCAAGTGCCGAGGGTCCACGAAACCCGTGCCCAGCCACATCAAAGCCGGGCTCTCAGCTGCCAGTCTCAACGAATCCGGTACAGGACCTGGATCCCGGTCACGGGGCACAACCGTGGGTGCGAGCCTGAGGAGCGATCCGCGGTTCAAGCAACGGGTTTCTTCGCCGACCTCCGATTCGCCGAAGACTGGACCGACTCACATCACTGCCGTCAGCATCAAAAAGTGAAAAGTAAATAGGAAACGGATACCAAGCGTCGGGTAAACTGAAGCCCGACTGGGGGGACCCAAACACGCATTGTGTTCTGCGTTCGCGCACATTTGTTCGAAATTTTTCTTCTTTCTTTTTGTGGCTTCTTTCTGCAGTTACCCGATGGTCAGAGTAACAGTGTGCAACAGAGTCACTATTCGTCATCATAGCCGAATCGAAAAGCACAAGAAAAGCAAATATTTTCGGAAAGTTTCGCGACAATTCAGGGCTATCATAAAAAAAACCTGTTTTCTCCAGAATTTAAAAATACAGTACTCCACGCTGAAACGAACTGGAGACATTTTGTATGAGCCCGGTGGCGGAGTTCTTCTCGCAGACCGCAAAAAATATTCTGAAATTTGAAAGAGAGGACGAACACGAGATTCTGCGGGACAAACATTATTCTCGTCAAAAGATGAAATATTTCTTGCCAAAAGTAAAATCACTTCCTTTGGAGTTGAAACTCTTTTTTTTTAGATAACATTTAGGTCAGGATCTCTACCAGTTGATCCATTCGATTGCCACTGCCAGGAATCATCAACCTTTTTTTCTACTTCAACACCATCCAAACTGCACAAGATTAGCATCCACCCTGGCAGAGAACCACGTCTAGCAAGCACGTCACAGGTTAAAATTCCAATAGACTAGACGCATCATACAGGACTTTTCGTGATTAGTTGTTCGCTTTCAGGGCATCCAGGAAAATGAATCGAACATATGGTAAAAATAGCAGCATTGTACAAATGAAGTTACCAATTGTGATGTTTTTCCAACATATTCTAGATTTCAAAGTGGATGATAAAGCGAGCAAATCTTCGAAACCTCTCCAATATATGCTCGCAGAAAAGAAATCAAAACCATCACGCGGTGGTTATCGTGACGGATAGGTTGACATGTTACCAGGGATCGTTAAAATGCGAAGCTTTAGGTGGATGTGAAATTCGGGTTGATGACTGAAATATTGTTGATCTTGAGGCAGGGTAGAGTTCCTAGGCAAGAATGATTTAATTTTAAATTGAAACTCGAGTGTGCCTTCGCAAGTTTAGATGATTCCGCGCAGCAACATCAAAAATGTACTGATGACTGGTAAAATATGTTTCAGAAACGAAAGAAAATAAAACAATTGTTGAACTTTGCGTCACTTCAGCGGGGTTCACTAGCGAAACAGTTGAACGCGTCACAAAACAGTCTCAAAAAGCTGAATCCCCACGAAAGAGTACAGGTAAAGAAAAAAACAAAAACGTGAACGAAGACAGCCAGAGAAGTACATCAACCTCTGATTGAAAGACGCCAAATATTAGATCAATACTCACCATTCCACTCAAAAGAATACTTTGCATAGAGCAGATTTGACGGTGACTAACTCCACACAAACCGGATTGAATAATTTTCTAACACGGAGGAAATGTTTCGCGCAAGATATGTTTTTTTTTTTTATATCGGATACTGTTCTCGAACAGTACGGTACTTACTTTCACATCTATGGAACGCGTGGTTTGGCGACGGGTTTGCATTCAAAAACTTTGTTCACAGCACCTCAGACCAAGGAAGAAAAAAAAAAACGCGAACAAGTTGCCTGACTTGGAAGAAGGATCACTCGAGAGACTTCCAATACTCAGAATATAGTATGTATTCCCACGTCTCTTCATGCGATACAGCCACACCGATGACCACAGGTATGACAAGGATCCGTCCGGCCAAACGCAACACTCCAAAACACAAGATCCCGCCGACGCAGAGAAAATCAAACATCCTTTCAAATCCAAGAAAGAAATAAATATGATCCATCAACTCCAGTGATTCGAAACAACAACGCACGATGCAATTCTGGAATGGAAAACTTTAGTCGCCCCTCCCCGAAAAAAAAATGGTGCGGCAAAAAAGGAGTGAATGTTCAACAGCAATTCCCTCTTTCCGTGGCAACTTTTCAAAGATGCATTACTTCGCAATGAATGCGTTTCGGGAGGAAAAAAATTATATTTTTATCTCTCGCTTTCCTATAACTTTTCGTAAAGCACCAGGAATCCGGCAGAGTTGCAATTTTTGGTGTTAACCGGAATCAGAAGAGCTTACATCTTCCCAGATGAATAATCAAAAATGTTTTCATTACACATCAAAATCTTCATTCCTCAATTTCCGCCTCACGATAATCGAATTCAGAAAATCGTTCGGAATCTACTCGGCTAAGACTGACTTTCGGAATATGTGCCCTTAAATTTATTCACTCAAATTTTGAAAGAAGCGGCTTGAATTAAATTAACCCCAGAAATATGTCCGGTTTTACGCATGCTTACGAAAAATAATGCTATTACTCTGTTAAACGGAAAGCAATAAGAAAAGAAAATCACGCACCAGTGCGATCCCAAAAAAAAAAAAAAAATCACGGGCTCGAAAAAAAATGTGGGTCGAGTCCACGACACATTAGCCGACGGCTTGCGTGATGAGCTCAGAAACAGATGGATCTTCCGAACGGACGCACAAGTGCATGGTCACACCTTCCGTTTGCGGCGACATGGCTAACTTGGTTCGCACGAGCACCTCATAACCACCACGGAAAACACCTGTGGCACACGAAATTTCAACATAAGTCAACAAAATCCAAGTTTCCAATCCTTTGTGGATTCTCCCACGCGCAGACGGATATGCATTCATGAAGTATATTCGAATTTTATTAACTTCTGCGGAACGCTCAAAATTGTATCCCCAATTAGATGGCTCCAGTATCTTCCACTCTCTTAATAATACGCTCAAAAGGTTTCTGATCATAAGAAAGATGCAGGGATGGACCTTGAATCAGTTTCACTTCCGAACTCCGTAACTCGACTTCGAAAAATAATTTGCCACAGGTGATCGGGACCCAGCTTCTCAGTGTGGTACTCAAGACGAATCCCCGCGGAACGAGGTTGTCATGAAAATTGGCAATCTAGGTCCAGCAGTAAAATGTCTCTCTTTGAAAAAATCTCTTCTGACAAGTCCCCTAATTAGCCATTTGTCAGGCAGCAACCGATTTCGAGTGATGAGGTGAAGAGAAATTAGGGGGAATTGCTTCATATTTGTCTCAAATGAGACAGAGCAGTGAGTCTGTGGGTCCAAGTCTAAGAAATTCAGAAAACTCTCTCGACAACCGGAAACGGTTGTAAACGTTAGTCCATTGCTGCCCAAAGTTCAACCCTCGGGCCAGATCCGGTCCGCAGAGGCTCTTCATTCGTAACGCGCTTTTCCCCCGAAATTTTTCAGTAGTCGCAGCCGCCATTAGTCAAAATATTTTTTCAAGATGAACTTGAAAATTCGAACTGTTGCTCCACCTTTCAAACATTCTACAAGAATATGCTAGTGATTCAATGCATAGTACTGAATTAAATTTGAAACTTTTCATTCAGAGGGGGGACATTTGGAACCTCAAACATCATCGTCTATTTCGGTCTACCACTTCTGCAATGAGGCCTTTGGCGACTTCTGAGTTTGGCAGCTTTCATCTCGCATCTCGCCGAAACCCGCGCATTTTTCAAGTTTATACATTATTTCAATGTTTATTGCTCTCGCTTGATTCCTTATGTGATTGTGGACAAGATTCAACTCACCAGCAAGAAGCAACGCGTGAGTACTCTTCCCAGGCGGCACGCGGTCGGTTCGGTCACAGGCTTGCATTCCCAAAAACTGGACTACTGTTCGAACCGCGTCATCCAACTTATTGAGAGCGGTGAGCGCGTAGGTGTCTTCCAATTCGTTCGTAGGACCGATTTCCTCCCAAGCCATGGCAAAATCTGTCTTCATCACACGCTGAACTTGATCCGCCACCGATATTTCCACGTCTTCCAACTTGAAACGAATAAATGGAACATGTCATGGAAAAATGGAAGCGAAAGATCCAGTAAATATGAAGAAAAATCACTCACCGCGTACTCGTCGTTGTAGCCGTCATCACTGTCCGGCAGTCCTGTAGCCGGGTCGCAGTCTCTGACTTTGTATTTCAATACAGCAGTGAATGATCCTACATCATAGGAAAATTTTTTTTATTACTTGGTCGGTATCTCAAATGGAGATCTTGAAGTTTGACTACACAGCTGAAAATCTCGTTCACAAAAAATCCTCATGTCCTCCGAACATATGATACGAACACCTTCAGACTATTTTCACTTCAACCCAAAAGACACTTGAATTTTTGATTTTATTAGGAAATTTGCTGAATCTTACTAAATTTCTCTGGGTACAATATGAGTTATATCGGCCACATTTTGTTCAGCTTAACCTTGCTGAAATTCAGTCAGATCAGCTTTCGTCGTGTCTGACTCAGTCGGCATCCGATGATCCGAGCTAAAATTAAATTGTTTTTAATTTATATGATTTCAATGAACGAGAGAACTGATCCCCCGCGACGAATTTCGGTGCTTTCGCTGAAGAAGTTTCAAGAAAAAGGGAACTCAGTACATTGAATAAGGATTTATCGGCAGATGATGAAAGTAGTGGAAGCTACAGTGAGCATGTTAACAAAGTAAAATGATTCATCTAGACGCAAAAAATAGCACAAAAGGCTTCCGATGAAAAAAAAATAATACGAAAGGTTTCTGGAAAATTGAGCGAGGAAAATTACCAAGGCATTCCGATATTTCCTCCGGCATTCGCAATACGATGTAAACGGTTCCAGAAACATTGTATTCCAACCTTGGGCACGGAACTTCCGCCAAAATTTCCCAACCTTCTGGAGCCTCTAGTGCAACGTGCACATTTTCGAGCAGCTGATCGCTCAACGTGTTCGTGCAATCGAACTGCAATGGAGAAACGTGAGATACTTTATTGAGCATAGAAAATTAAAAAAAGGTTCTGGAGCCTAACCTGTAAAACAACATGTCGACTAAAAACGTGCTTGATACATTGAACGACGTATTCGGTTTCAGATTCGGTCAAATCCGAAGGTTGAGAACTCTTGAAAAGTGGGCCGAGGTTGAGGGCGGCAACGCTTGGAACATTGGCCAATTGAGATGCAAACACGTCCAAACGAGTTGCGGTCGGTTCTGCAGCCTGCAACATTTCAAAGGTAGATTCAATCTGAATTGTTCGACTCTCGGCAAAAAAAAACACAACCTAACTCTGAATGATTAAATATCCGAAATTACTCTAGGCCGTGCAAAATAAATATGATTCAAGAGAAAACCATGGTTTATTCAGAATAAATCTCGCTTGAAAATTGGATTCTTGTCTTCGCAATGATCCAGTGCGACGATTAATACGTATCGAAGGAGTAACCGACGAATACGAGCGTTTTCTGGAATAGCTCAGTTTGTGCATTTTTTGAATAAAGTTTCCACGTCAGGTGCAAATACTAATTCAAATGACGGACGCTGACCCTATTAGGCCTCGTCGCGTTTCATAGCCCGAACTGATTGAATAGTTCCCTAATTACTGTACAGTATTACGACATAGGAAAGCCTAATACAGGAATTAAAATAATTATCTCCATTAAAATTTCCATTACAAGTCTCAAAATAAAAAAGTGACATTGTGCCACTTTAATTTTCTCTCACGTTAGAGATCAATAAAACTAGAATTCGCTTGCAAGCCTAACAGACTAACACGATGTCAGGAAAAACATTCTAAAATTTTTAGAAAGGAAGGGTTGATTGTGAGAAGTTTGAGAAAATCTCCCATTTCGAAGAGCAAAAGAATCGAAGAAAAAGCAAACCTTCGCAGTAGAAAGCAACGATCCTTCCGGAGCACCAGCCTTTTTCTCTGCTTCCGCTGTTTCCGACTCCAGTGCCAAGGGCACGGACTTGATATCGAAAGGAGTGTCGACTGGGTCCAACGTGTACAAGTGCAAAGCCTTCTCCAAACTTGTTACGGACACCTGAAACGTTTGTTGAAACAGGCAGCCAAGAAATTAATGAGGACACAAGCTAACCAATCGACAGATTTTTAGTTAATGTTCTACAAAAAAAAAAAATTATAATTCACAAGAGTAAGTCCTCCAAGTAACAATCATTAACGCTAACAATCGGATTCACTCACAGGTAACGGATTCAGGATGTACTGAGAGTTCAAAGCACGGCTTTGCTGGTCGAGAATGGCGTAATAGTAAGTTGCTCTATCCCTGACTTCGTCATCCGTGTCCATGCGACAACGTGCCAATAAAACGAGTATGGCGGGTAGCAGATCATCACACAAGGCCCCGAATTTTGCCAACGCTGACACAGCTGCAGCTCGCACAGAAGCATTCTCCAGAATCACACGGTTGTAGATGAAGCGAATATACCTTCAATCATGAGCAATACGGTTCGATAAATGTTTACGCTAGAAATAAAACCATATCTTCTTGACGACTGTGGGTAACAGCTCGAAGTATTTAAAATCCCTTCTTTTCTGTTTAAATTACAAAATCTAACTTGGAGAGCAGAAGGAGGGCAGCAATTAAAATAGGAAAAGGAATTCATCATTACCGCATATAGTAATTCCATTCGCGAACATCTCAAAATACTGTACAGCTGAAAGTTTCCTGCGGCTTTCACATGCAACCTTTCAACAGAAAGCCCCGGGAGAATTCTCGCCACTCGAACAGGAGGCGATTTTTACGGAGAAAATTCGGACAGGATTTAAAGAATATAATAGGATTTGTAATGGAAAAGCTCGTGGGCATCAACTCACATGAAAGGAATACATTACTTACGGACTAAAACTTGGTAATACTGTAGATGCAATTTTTCAACAGAAAACCGATTGCTTAATCTCTAAAAACCTATCACTTGTAGAGCGAACTTTCAAAGGATCAAATGCGAAGTCTCCTTCGCCCCATCACGCTTGATTTCAAACGTGATAACCCGATGCAACGCTCAAGCCAAATGATTTCAAGAACTCACCGAGAGGGTTGCTTGGTTCTGGGGCCTTCTTTCCCTAAAAGGTGCAGAATCCGAACAGCAAGACTTGTATGCTCACAATCTTCAATAAATTCACATAGATGTGACAGTCCTGCTTCCTTAGCTTCTGGATTATCGGATATTATTGTTATTATTGTATCGGCAATCGCAGCTTTGTATTCCAGGCCTCCTTCGTCACGCAACAATGAGGACAAGAAATTCATCAGCACACCGTGCTTTCTTGGGAACTTGGTCCCTAGAGCTCGGATCGCTCCAACTACCACGATCTAGAAGAGCAAAGGAGATAAGGCTTCAACTCGCATTCTTCCCTCAATTATCAATTTAGAAGAATATACATCTAGAATCTTAAATAGGCATACCTCAGACGGTTTTCAAAGAACTTCAGCGATCTAGCCATATCAAATTAACCATCCTAAAATAAGATTCTCTCCAAAATCAATTTTCACGAACAAAATGACATGGTGAAAAGAGATGATCAAATATTCTTGTCACATTAGTGGCATACAGTTATGTTTTCTCGAGTATTACTTAGATGCGATAAAAGCCAAAGAAGAGAATTCCACACTTCAAAGAAACGTCCGGTTTGTACTTCAATCTGACTTAATGATAAATTTGACCAAGCATTGATCTAGAGGAGGAAAATGAATTAAAATACATTAGTTTTCACTGATCAAACAGAAAAGAACACAGATCATCGCGTGCCTCAAGGGAGCAATACCTTGAATTCATCGGATATCTCGGACACAAACGTCGCGATTTGTTTCATCAGCCGATCAACAGATGACTCTGCACCAGTCTTCAGCAGCGTTGTAATTGCCAAAGTTGCAATGGATCGATTGACATCCGTAATCAGATTCTCTAAATCCAAATTACAAGCAGCAACTGCTGCTGGGTTTGTCATCGCAACCTACAGAAAAAATCGTATTAAAAAATGTGGCTCTAAATGCATAGAAGATCCTGTTCGTGAACCTTGTTCAACGTTCGCACAGCAGCGAAACGAAGCGTGGGTTTCGGGCTGGAACAGAACAGTTGCAGAACAGACACAGCTGGTCCAAGTTCTCGAGAAGATGTGGACGAAGTCGAGGTTTTGAGGTTCACGAGAGCTTGGGCAGCTTCATAAATAACGATTTCGGACTTGTGTCGTAAACATGACTCGATGAATTCCAGGTAGGGAGAATCCGGACCAGTTTCTTCCTCTTTGATCAATCTGCACGCAATGCGTATCTTCAAGAAGAAGACGAGCATTACAATGGCTAAACAATGTGTCAGAGATGAGGGTGTTTTACCAGGAGACATGCCGCATAAGGTGATTTAAGAACCATTCGAGTGCATTTCGTCACCAATTTGCTGACAGCTAGTCTATCGCTTTTCCTGATATGATACAGCAAGCCCAGGGCGTGATACTGAACCATGATGCTGCAAAAAATTCGCGGAATCTGTGGGTTAATCTGTCAAAAATCTGATATGCGAGTGTTTTATTTTTCTACCCTTTACCAATGCATATGAACTCCGACAAATTTCATATGCTGATATATTTTTAAACTGTGATTAGGTTTCGTAACACGATTATTGGCACAGAGATACGTTATACAAGTTACAAATCAGAAGTTTACAATTGAGCTCACTACCTTTCAAAAGTTTGAGCAAAATTATGGTAAAACTTAACTTTTCATGTACTACAGCTTTCCCCAGTTTTTAAATAAATAATTTGAAATACTCACTTGTCAGAATTTACTGCTTCTTGAGCTTCATTAACCCATCGCTTCACGATTTCTCCAGAATACTGACACATGTGTAGGCTGCTGACTAATGCAGCACAGCTAACCGCAGGAATCTTGTCCACAATAGCTTGGCGCATGTAGCGCTCGATCGCTTGGAGCATAGTTGTCTAGGTACGGTAGAGACCTCAAGTGATGACAAGAACACCGTACTACTATCAATAACTTCACTCACATCCGTAATCGCGCATAATGCACGGATTGCAGCAGGACGATAAAGATCCTCTTTACCAGTCATGTCTTTCGTCAAGATGGAAGTAACAATGATCACATCCTCGGCGATTGGAGCGAGTTCCTTGATCCCTGAACGAATCGGACAATACGCATCAACACCTTACAGTTCCAGGAGCACATCTGCTGCGCTTACCCAAATACACCATTCGACGCAGGATGACGTCTTTCGACTGGAATAATTTAGTCATAGCAAAGAAGGCGTCCGTAGCTTCTCTCGCGCCAAGGGTTTCTCCTTGATTGATGAGATACAAAATTTTTGTAAGAATTTGTGTGCACTTCCTGGGATTGACCGGAGTGTCATTGAAGGCACGCGCCTCTTGAAGAACGCTGGCTTTTTCCAAGTTGTTGAAGGGATTCCCAGAACCACCTTTGATAATATCGAAAAAAAAAATTACGATAACGTAAAACAGCACACAAAGGAAAGCTTACCTTCTTCCTCATCTTTCTTATCCTTGCGAAAGGAACTCATTGCGTTTCACCGAAGATTCACAAAGATCTCGAAGTAGTAATTCAACGCGATGAACAAAAATTTTACGTTTGAATCTAGGTACAAATATAGTCCTATGTATTCGCGGAGTGATAGTCACTTTCGCGCAACAAAGAAACCAAGTTTTATTGCAACAAACCAAAAAAGATGCTTTGTAAAAATCACTCTTGGTATTCAACTATCTGCAGAGTGATCCTTTTGGTCCGCAAGCATATTTGGAATGCCATTCCGAACAGGAAATTTGTGACCAGTCTCGGGACACTCCAATTCCCCATTTACGACATCAACCTCGAAAAGGATATGATGAGCTTTCTTCAAAAAATCTTCGTCGCCTTCAAAATCCGGCCCAACATCTGGCGGTAGACCACTAAGCTCGCCCAAAGCTGCGAAAAAAGTTAGGATATCACCACAGCTTCAATCCATGAACATCCCGAAGACAACCATACTCACATTCCGCAGCCTCACACAAAGCTGGCCATTCCAGTTTGGGTATCAGTCGGATCACTTGCTCCTTATTGAACTCAACCTCATGAGTCTGCATTTTAGGAAAATTGTATCAGTTGCGATCACCATGAACCACTGCACGACTGAAAAATCTCATCAATTTACGTCAATCTTTCATACCTTCACTTCCACGGCATGAATTTTCAGCGGGAACCCTTTGACCACCCCCTTCAAACACTTGGAGGAAAGCATGTTGTGCGTAACTAGCTTCATTTTCACTTCACCCTCGAACTAAAACTGAAAGGACAGCTCAGTCGGCGGCTACGTTTCGATCTTCCCACTTTAACCGCAACAAAGTCGGAGCCAATTCGTCAGTTTCCTCTTCCACGCCATCCCAGTGAGCACCAGTCTTTCTCAGAGTCACCTCCGGCTTTCGGTGAGTGACTTCAACAGGAAGGATTTTGTGGTAAAATTTTAGGAAGAGAACTGGTTCAAAATAACACGGTGGTTCAAAATAATTGTTAGAGCAGCTTTTACAGCTAAATAGTCTTCTGCAACAATTTCAGCATGATTTCACTATCCAAAACAATGTGATATTCATGAAGTCCTTCATTCATGGCTTTGATCGACAAGCAGGTTAGGTTGGGTCATGTTAAATTTCAAATAATTTATACACCATAAATGCTCTAATAAAGGCCAGCTATCTCAACAATCACGGGGGGGGGGGGGGGGGGATGCAAACAAATATATTTGCCAGCTTCCAATAGCTGATGCAGGGTCAAAGAAAGGGGGAATGGTAAAAATACCAGGAATTTTCTTTTGGCCATAATAATCCATTCCACGATTCAACCCTTACTTCACACCCACATTAAAAGCATTAAACAAGGAGGTCCTTTCCATCTAGCATTTAATAAAGCATTCCTGTGCCATTTCGTAATACACAAATCCAGGTTTGCCTCCAAGTTTACCCTTGTGCTTCTACCTTTATCTTCTCTTGTTCCACCTCAGGCACATATTCTGGAAATATTTGCCATTATCTTCCAATAGCTGACCTCTATTAAATGCTGAGCGGAAAGGTGAATATTTTATCAACAGTAAATGCCAGGAGGGTTTAATTGAGCATGTATGATTGTTTTGTCTTCCTTCACATAATGCACACTACATTCAAATAAAATTCCCTACCCTTATCCATGCGCTTTCATGAAGTCACTCATTAGTAGCGTTGAGGGAGGGAGTGAAAGTGAATAGGTTGCGTTGGACTAGCCCCCTATGGGAGTGGCGTGGAGTTGAGCAGCCCTCAGCTTTAGGCGCTGCTCAAAAGCTCATGCACCTCTTCTATTCCATTGCATCAGTCGTCCCATTCCAACCTGGCATACCTGTACAATTCATGGGATAGATGGAGCAGATGCTTCGGTGCGTGAAGTTGTGGGCTATCTGAACGCAACAACACAAGCCGATTTTGGGTGCACTTCTGCAGTACACTGTGAAATGAGGAGCTGTGATGATACCAAATGGGGCTAGAACCCTTCACTTTTAAATCCTGAAGGTCTGTGTTCATTTCAATGCATTCAGAATGCTAATGGTAGGCCTTGGCACAATTTCATGCCAAAAGTTTCCACCGACTCAACTGTCGCTTTCTCCGAATAAGCATGACAAAACTAAAACCGTCCTTCATAATTGATCCCAATTCATTTACGAGAAATATCACTCTGTACATCTCACAGCAGATATAATGATGATTTGACATTTCAATCACTAATTCGTCGATTTCATTTCTCAACTTGAATGCAACTTTTCTGCAGATGCAGTTTCATCACTGGCAATCATTCAAGCGGGAAAAATGTGAATGCACAGTTTTTCCTGAAGGAGGTTCAGGTTCTGAAATGTCACTGCACATTTCAATCTGAGCATCTACCAGCAGTTAACCATTTAACTCGCCTTTCTGCGATTTGGCCATTCTGCGGGGTTACGGTAGATTTCAAAAAATCGAGGGATTTTCAACGGCGGTCATTTCGCATCTATTTCGCTCACTCTTAAATTCCAAATAACACATACTCGACGATTTTGGACGACCAATGCAGACGAATTTTGGAAAGCGTTGCCAGATTTCGCTGGATTTTCGAAGTTCAGAACGGTCCTGAAAAGGAAATCACAGAAGAAAATTATGGAGCTCGTATTACGAGATGATATACATGATACACGACTCACGTATTTGGCCAAGGTCCATGGCAGTGCGAAAGCAAGTCAGGAAACGTGACCTTCAAGAAGTCGTCGTCCACTTTGTCAGGGAGGAAGAAAGCAAGGAGGCTACGAAAAAATGGAACACGATATTTAAAGCAAGTCAACCAGCCTTCAAAAATGTTAATGCACTAGGGTCAACTCGAATTGCAATGCTACAAGCCTACAACAGATCGAAACGAATATTTGCATTCAGCGCTGGAACCCAATCGAGGTAAGATGGACATTGCAATTTTACGTAGACGCACAGATAAATTCTACATAACACATGTGTGGGTGAGAAACGAGTTCCAGTATCATAAAAATGGAATTTAATTTGAACACAGAGCTGAACTGAATATCTTTACTCTTTGTTTCAGAATAACATATTGGCAGGCTATAAAGACATTCTGATCATAAGTATGGTGTATGAAAAGATTCCAAAATTTGAAGATGCAGGACTGTATTCTTGCAGCCTATATTCAAAGTCAAAATAATCTAGATACATTTCCAGCACGAATTTTTGCGCAATTTTTTTTTATCAGTTCTGCATTTGCAGCAAGATGCACCTTTTTGCATCCGTTAGCTTTCCTTCAGTTTTTATATTCAGCGGCGGTATCAGCGCAGCGTAACTAGGATATCCATTGATAACTCCGTCGAACAAATGGTACAGCATACTCCTCGCTTTTTCATAAGTTGAAAATTCCACCAAAAATTTTCTGTGGAAATAAGAACGCAGATATTTTACAGTGAGACAATTCGAACAGCGACTCCGTCACACAAACCTAGGCATCTCCGAATAGCCAGGGAAAGGAGGCGGATCACAGACATCGTCAAAAGGTATCTCACGAACATACGTTGCTTCAATCCACTGCTTCAGAGATTTCAAACTGAATTTCGCCTCTCCGGGTACTCTGAACAACGCACCGAACAGGCGTTAAAAAATTACTTAAATTCAAAATTAATATGTACTCACGTAAGCGTGATCATCTTGTCGAAGATTTCATCCAATCTTTCAGCAGATTCTCTCAAGAAAATGTTTTCTGCGCACCCGTTTGCAGGTGGAGCCGCCATCTGCGCAGAACAACACACTTGTAGGGCACCAAAAGTTTACGAAGAAACCTGATAATTAAGGTAGAAAAAATTAAATGTATTGGTTAGTGTGTCAGGATTATTAATACAGCTGAGTTTCTTTTCGTTCTTTTTTCTAAATAAGTTGTACAGATATCGTTCAGAAAAATCACCAGAACAAAACATCGTACTACCATATATAGGGAACATGCGTCAACATTTGTAATGGGAAGATTTTTCTTCCCATTTTAAGGCCGAAGGTTATACAGCTGACGCATTCGGGACTAAAATTTGAAAAAAAGTCGGGATTATTTGAAGGAATTTAAGTCCCCGCGATTTTTAAGGCATTAGCTCCAACTGCTTAAGGTTAAACTGAATCATCGTTAAAAAAACTAATTAACTTTTTGTTCAACTGGCAGTAAGTGAAGATTTACAATTAACAAATCTGGTAAGAAAAAGGCAACAGAAGCCTCACCTTTTGTGCTGTAATTTTCTTGCAAACCTTGGGATTCTCAATTAAATTTTTCAATGAAATGCCGAATGGTCGGTTCCCTCTTCGTTTCTTGCGAGGCTTGCCTTTCACACGGAGTTCATCAGATATTTTCTCAGATGACGTTGATGGCAGATTTCGCCTTCCTTTACGTTCAACCGCAACTTCTCTGAACAATTTTTTGAGCTTTGCTTTGGTTTTTCGATCTAATCCGGGCGTGTTTCCAGCAGAATCACTTTGCTTTCGTCGTTTTGCTTTCTTGAACTTCGCGCGCACTTTAGGTTTACGATCACCTTTAGTGATTTCTCTGGGACCCTTTCCTCCCGGGGTACGATTATTCGGCATCACACCTGCGGTTGAACGAATTCAAAAATAATTCAAGATTCATAAGATCAAGGATAGATTCAGAGATTCAGGACGAAGGCGCTGAAATAAAAGCAAACGAATAACTAAACTCAATTTGAGGTCCGCAAGGGCGTTAACTCTTCAATAAATAGCTCCACGTGCTCGCACAGGACAGGAAAATTTCGGTCCAAACATTTAAACCAGATTCCCACACGATCAATGCAAGAAACGCTCGTTTGTTCAAATAAAAAGCTTTGACTACAAATTCGGGCGATGGTTCAACACACGCGGAAAAAAAAATTTGTCTCTCATACATGGGCAGAAATTGCACAGTTCCATTCCTTAAAAAAAATCAAAAACTTTGACTTAAATGGGAAGGAGATGAGAAATTGAAGGGAACGCAACTCGGGTTTTGCCTACGCACTCAATCCTTCAACAAACGTATAATCGAAGCTTTCGCGCGGTTGAAGCCGTTATCGAATATGCTATTACGTATTTCTTTAGTCATCTCGCACCCAAAAAAAAGTAGAACAAGTTTCGATTCAATCAGCTTATGCGCATGAAAAGGAACTTTTGTTAGTTGATAAGTCAATTAAAATAAAATCAACAAAAATCTTGCAATCCACAACGGTGAAAACAACGGATAGCAAACGCAATTGGACAATACTGCCTTTTCTACCGGTCGTTTACGGCGAGATGGCACTTAAAACTCCGGATCTCGTATTAAAACACACCTGGCCTTGTAAGAATATTCTTCTGGTGGCGTAAAGCTGCATCGACACGCAGGAAAAAATTCGTATCATAAAAAAAATCGTGAACTCAAGGAAAATGTCTGGGGAATTCTCCAGAAACAGAAAATGCGAACTTCGGAAAGATCTTCGAGGAAACTAAAAATAAATACTTTGATTCACCAAAATGAGCTCATGGACCTCCAGCAACCACGAATATCTTTCAACTTTTCAACTAAAACGAAAATCACAACAACCGACATCCGAAAAAAACATCAGAAAACGTGCAAAAACAGATCGACGAAACCGCTGAGTATGCTTTGGAACTTTTTATGAATAGAGTTGTCTTTCGCCTTACAGCAAAAACATAAAATAAATAAATAAATGAAAATCGGAGATGCACCTCATTGCTGCACGGCATGTTGAAAACAAAAATCATCGCTGCGAGTGTTCATCATTGAGCTACCTTTGCTTATTATTGAGATCACCCCTCCCATCACAGCTCCTCCTTGATCTGAGTTCCCGAAATATGCACAGAAGATTTACGTGTCGACTTTAAAATTAGAAGCCCTTCGTGTTGACAATGAATCGGTCTACTTTCATCTACAGCATGGAAGTGCACCTGATCAGATACACAGGAATTCGGCTTCTACAGCCAGTGAGTTTCGCCAGAAGTGAAGAAGATCTAAAAGTGACCTTACCAAAAACCAGAAAAAATATATGAGATTCAATCAAGCAGAGCGAAGTATTATGGGTTCTGGAATTTTCATTGAACTTCATTATTCCACATCATGAATTTTGGAAAGCGGCATGAAAATCTTGCACATTCGCTGACTAAAATGTCCATCTTTCAGACCGAATATTATTCAACGCTTGTCGTGAGCGAAAATGGGTTTCACGTTGATTATATGTTTTTAACGGTGAACGCATTCCATTTGATCAATTCTTCAAATAATCATGAATCTAACATGAATTCACGCACCTGAAGTTAAAAAAAAAGAACTTCCGGCTTTAACCACATCGGGAAATAACAAGTATCCAATTATTATGCCAGAAAAGCGAAGATTTTCACACCTTGAAAAAGGACGTTGCTTCTTGAAAATTAGAATGAAAGTCACAAAAACTTGCATGCCTGGAGGTCGCTACTCGCTACTCCCAAAATTCACTTCGCCAGGTTAGCAGGCAATTCCCTCTCATCAATACAGATCTGAATGAAAGAGAAGTTTGCAGCAAATATTATCAACTCGAAAGGCTTCAAAAAGAGAAAAAAACGAGGGAATGGGGGTTTAAAAAAAAAAAAAAAAAGCTGCCGGTAACATGCCTTCGAAGAGGCCAGAATAAATACGGTTCGGATCAATTTCAACTTTCCTGCTATGACTAGATTTCCCTAAAGCCAACACCGAAGGCTTGAAACGGAAGCTGGCAACAGCTAACCTGATGCTTTTCCCTTCAGCCTGGTCCACATAATTCCAGCTTTGGCCACATATTCTTCCAAATTAACAACGAACTCAACTAGTTTGAGCTACAGCGCCATCCACGCGGAGAACATCGTGAGAGTTAAAACCTGATCCTTTAGATTTCAAAAACGTATGGGACCATCCAGCTCGATTAAACAAAATCCTCAAACTTTTTCGCATCAAAGAAATTAATATCAAATTCCCAACATTCGCCACTACCTGAAAATGGAATGAATTTACATTTTTCAACGTCGAACAGCCAGTATCAGACAAATGTTGAGGAAGAACACTTAAAGAAGCCTACATGTAGCTGGAAATTTGCGCTCCGAACAACTGCAACAACCTCGGATATGAACTATAAAATATCACTCGAAAGCTTTCTTGCGATTTGGACGAGAGCGCATTCCCAGACAACGAGGCAATTCATCTCTGCTACTTTCTCACGTTTGGGAATAAGATTGCGTTACGCTGGAAGGCTCGCAAAATTCAAAAAATTTAGAATTCTGAAAGCTCTTTCAGTAAAACGATTCTCCCCATTAGAAACAACCTCGATGATCAAGAGATTCGGAAATTATTCCCTTTACACGTTTAAACCTTGAAGATTGTTCAATGAAGAGCAAACGTATGGATTATGACGATCATGGATCGTCCCTAAGCGTGAATCGCACTTCACTTTTGAGACTCTCAGAACAAATATTTCTGCTGAGCGAGACACAATTTCACGTTTTCATAAACCATCGGCCGTCACGATCGCTAAAACTCGATTTTTGCTCAGTTCAAGGCTACGGAAAAACCACCGCTTAAAAAAACACTAGCACCAAAATTCGATTCCGTCGCACGACACACTTCTAACACCCTTCTTGGCACTCATTGGAATTTCGGGCGCCTGGACACCTTCTCTGTTCGGTCTTTTTCTGCCTTCTTCAAGACTTTATCCCGGTTACGAAATTCCTTCTCGAGTATCTTCCGCTGCTTTTCCTCCCTCACTTTCAGTTCCTTGACTCGCTTTTTGAGGCGCGCACGATCTTCACTACTGATACCAATTGATCGCATGTAATCTGAGTTCATCGCGAAAAGGACGTTCCCGTTGATGCCGTTTTCGAGGAAGAGCGACTTGAGATTGTCCAGACCGATTGCAAGTAGCCACTGGGAAACCTAGAGGACGCAAACGGCATGATATGAAAACTAAAATCATAATGACGTAATTTATGAATAGACATGGTGCACATCAGATGACCAAGCCTCAAGAGAGCAAGTTCACGACTTGATCAATTACAAAAAGGGCCAGCTCACAAAAAAAGCATCATAACGGTATTCTGGGTCGCATTTCGATTTCACAGATTATATTTCTGTTATCAAATCAATCTTCGTGTCTTTTCAAAAAGGCATTGCGTATTTTTTTCCACTGAAGATCTTGAGTTGTACTCTCAACCTTTCCGAGCATTCTCCGAAAATTAGCAAGATTTCCTCCGCACATGTACAGTTGAATCTCGATAAATCGAAATTCCCTGAGACGGATTTGTTCAAGCCCCCTTCAGAATTCCATCAGAAACAAGGCATTGAATCCCTCCCTAACCAGAAAGTTTTTCCTCACAAACCTCTGTAACTCAAATTTTCTGAGGCCTTTTGGCTATTATTTTATTGACACAGGTAAGAGATAAGCAAATACAACAGCAGCTTGATGTGTTTTGAAAGGATGTGAAATAATAATTGACCAAATGAACCCTTGCCTCCACGTTCAGCATTCTTTCAACTAATTCAAGAAGGAATTTAATGCCCGGAATATCAACACTTAAAATTTCCTGAATTTTTCTTTTCTTTCCAACAACTCGTTTACCCATCTCCATAAATTGAACTTTTTTGCGGGTCCCTTGAAATTCGACTGTATTGCATTTTCTCAGCAAAACTTCCATCCCCTTATTGCTTATCAAAATCACGGTGCAGCATATACTGTACTTGCATTAATTTCGCATTTGTGCTGCTTAGAATCCTTTAAAAACGCAAAGATGATAAAAATCAACGCACTTGTTCTTTGGACCATTCCATGACGAATCCGGGTTGCCATACAGTCGGATACCGTTGCTGGGTCTGCGAGGGTGGCCCAGAATGCGATTGCGAGCTTTCGTTTTCAGGCGACTCAGCTGCAGTTGGAGAATGAGTGGCTGATCTTGATTCATAAGACGGCTCCATGCGTAACTGTTGCATAGGTCCCCGATTGGCACTCGCGCGGAATTCATCGGTACGACGAAGCAGTTCAGCTTCGAGGTTGGAGTGGGGCATCAACTGTTGGAATTGAAAAAAAGGAATACAATGATTAAACGTGAGCTGCATACGGTCAAATACTTTTAAAATCATAATTAGGATAAAAAGCCATTCAATAAATAAATACTGTGTAAAAATTAGCTGCAACGTAGAACATCAATGTGGAGCGTATCAGTTAGTAATGTGAATGTCATATTTTTGCAGGGTAAATTTGCCGGTCAATCTACAAACTGACATATCAATGGTTTTCGAGAGTGATAACAACAATACATACGATTTCTTTCGTTAATTTCCGTTCATCCTAAAATAAATAAATGTCGACAATTCACGAAATATCCTAACATTTTACGCAACTATTCCTGGCTCTACGCCTTTAGATAATCCTTCAAGGTGACTTTAAATTTTTAGAAGAAGAGGTTCTTTGAAGTTACCCTTTTTTCCTTCTCTTCATCCGTGCTGCATTTGAAGCCTTTTCCAAGCATTATACAACTTAGAAGTTAAAACCCATCTATGATTCGCTTTTTTTTTTGGGAACTTTCCTCGGAAAAAATTTGCGGACAAGAATTTGATTTACGAACTACAGTATTTTCAGCATATTTTTCAGAAGTGTCAAAACAGAGGACACGAGATAGGGAATTGCACAGCAGATTTTTCCAGCACATCAACCAAGAAAACAGTCTCATAGTTGGAAAAATATTCCAATTTTTTATGGTTTCCCAACACGCTGAGAGAAACCAACCGGAACGTGAGTTGCACTGGTAACATTGGGAATATGCGGATGCCGCGGCCACTGGTAATTCGCTACATTGTCCGCAGAAACGTGAACCGGCGCAGCGCCAACAAACTGCTGCGTGAAACGCTGCTGATGGCCCGAATGTGGCAACGTTTGGACGCCGTAGCTTTGCTCCGGCGCCTTCTGGTAGCGCTGCAGAGAACCCGTGCGACTTGGCGGACCTTCAAACGTGCCCGATGGCAGCAAACCCGATCGAGTGTCCCTCAACGGTGCCAATGGATTTGGTTGTATCGCAGTTTGATCACCAGCGTACATCTGCTGAGGGACATGAGCAAGCTGCTCTTTTCCGCTCTCCATCTCTGCTGAAACAGAAGAAAGAGTTTCATCCTTCGAAGACAAATGAAGTCGTTCGTTTCTTCATTTTACTTTTCATTTCCTGTACAATTTTGGGTTTGAACCATCGACATTGTTTCAATGTTTTCGACAGTTTTCCGCATTTCCTCTTCATAAAAAAAAAATGCAGTGTTGTACTGCACGGGAGCACTCTTTCTAAGATTTCATTTACAACGAAATTATCTTCCTGGCGACCACTTTTCCGTCTCTCGAACGCCATTAGAGGGAGAATCAACCTGCGGTTGGATTTCGCAATCGTCGCACAATATTAAAGTTCCAGATGGGGCGATACAATCAGGATCGCGTTATATTTTCAGATTTCGGACAGGCTGAATTGCTTCCTGACTGTGTTCCTCCATCCATCGGGACAGCAGGAAAGTTTTAATAATCCTAGCAATTTTCCGATGATCTCATCAATGAGAAATATTTTAAATCATAATCATCATTAAACAAAACGGCCATGAAATTGATTCAAAAAAGGAAGGTATTCTGTTAGTTAAGTATATTTTACGGTAAAATTTAGAACGAAAGGGCGTGAAAAACTCGACGCGTTAACCAAAGCAATCTCACCATTCGCCGGTTTAGTAACACTATTTTTGAAACCGGACGGCGGCGACAACGGTTGATCTGGAAGCGCTGGAACTGCAGCAGCTCCAGCAGGGGGTTGCCTTGGTCGTCGTTGCTGCTGCTGCTGCTGTTGTTGTTGTTGTGGTTGTTGTTGCTGCTGGTAACCACTGTATTTCTGTTGTTGAACATGCTGCTGCTGTTGGATGGGTTTCACCGGAACATCAAGATGCGTCGGCTTTTGTACCGGCCGAAATCCATCGTTCACGTAATTGTGATCCGCCCGACCAGCAGGAACTCCACGGAAACTCGACTGATTTGGTGGCGGGTACGTTGGACGAGGCGCGTGATGCTGGGGAGCGACTACACGAGGCAATTGCCGGAATTCCACGGGGACTTGTTCACCGGAGGATCTTATATGATCTCGACGAAGTTTGGAAGCTTGTTGATGAGGCCCTGAAAACAGACCAACAACGCTTCAAATTTTTACGAATTACAAGACACGCTCCAAATTTTCCGAATTCTATGAAAACAAAGAATTGACGTGAATTATCTTCCTGGCCAAACGGGAATAGAAGGTTTCTTCGATTGTTTTCCCTGTAGCATGCAGTACTTTTAAAGCGTGTCCGGTCAGCCGCCAGCCGTTCAATTCACGGTCGCGCACCCGCCAGCCGTCAAACGCTGGTCCCTCCAATTGCCAGCCAGGGCAGACCGGACCGCAGTTTGGTGGGCTGGGGATTGGAGACCAAGCACTGCCCTGGCTGGCAATTGGAGGGACCAGCGTTTGACGGCTGGCGGGTGCGCGACCGTGAATTGAACGGCTGGCGGCTGACCCGGTACCCTTTTAAAGATGTGTCGTACCGCAGACAACTAAATGTGAGGAGTCTAACAAATGTTCTCGGAATAGAAATTGTAACGGCATAAGATTGAGCTGAAGAACAATTATTATTTAAAAAAAACATTTCGACGCAAGGAAAAATATTCAGCCCCGTTTCTAATGATTTTCAGAACATTTCTGCCAGTCACCCTGGCAGCTTTGTGCTCTTCACTCAAAAGATGAGGAGCCCATCCCGCAGATTTTTCCATGTAATCCAGCTTCTTCTTCAGAATTCTTGAAATCCACATTGCCATTAATTCCAAAGGTTGCCTCGAAGTCGCCACTCGGCATGAGGATGTGGCGGCTGACGATGAAAATGGCGGAATTACCTAGGAAAACTTGGAGGCAACCCTTGGGATTGGTAGCATGTCGATTTCAAGAATTCTGAGAGAGAATAAGCTGGGATGAGACTGGCGCTTCATCCTTCGACTGAAAATCAGAGAGCTGCCAGGGCGACTTTAAAAAAGAAGACAAAAAAATCGAACAAGGCTGTTTTTTTCTCGCGCCAAAGAATGTTTTTTTAAAATAATTGTTGGTTTTCAGCTCTTTCACATGCCGCTTCAATTTCTATCCCGACACCGCTTGTTCGACCCCTCGTAAATGGAGAAGTTTTCGAAGATAATACAAAGAAAAAAATTAAAGGATTTGTTGCACCTACGAGTGACTATAATGAATATATTGTAGTGCTGTACGCACAAACGGGGTTATGAAAAACTCTGTAATCACCGTTTTCCCTCCTTTTGGTTGATGATGTTGTTCTCGCTGCTTTTTTCCATTATTCAGTGAAAGGAAAAATTTAAAGAAATCAGAGAACATGGCGATCAAAATTATTCAGTATTTTCCATAATCGCCTCACAGGGAGAAACGAAAAAAATTAATGAATATCTACCAACACTAAAAATGTCTCTCGTGCGAACTGAAATTGTAACATAACATCAGAGACAAGACGGAAGTTGGACAAAACATTTGGAGGTTTCGAAAATGCTTTCGACGTCAAAATATCGCTAAATCAATCTCGCCGCAAATAATCGACACGAATAAGTCACGGTTCAACGCCTGTTATTCAGTACGTACCAGGAACGTTCCAGTACTGCGGATTGCGTGCTTTATCTGGCACGGGATGCTGATGGTATCGCGGATCCACTTGATTGTGCGGCCACATTCTGCCACCATCAAAGCCGCCGTATTGGGACTCCAGGTTCATTTTCAAGGCCTGCAATGACGGAAGAACGCGGCTCACGAGAGCCCTCGCGGCCAGATCTGCCTTTTGCCTCGCTGCACTGACGTCCAGCAGAGTAGTTTTCGGCACGGCTTCATCCAGCTCCTTTTTAGCTTTCTGAAATAGATAAATGATTGATGCATTTCAAAATTATTTGCAGAGAAACGTAAAATTCGTTCCTCCGTTCGAGGTAATGAAGCGCCTTTCCATTCATATTGAAAACTTTCTGGATACAACGTGAGTTGACAACGATTTTTTATTAAGGGTGAATACTCTTACAGGTTTAAAGACTCGATTGCACGACATTTACAAATGAAAATGAGAATTTACACAACTCGAAGCAGATACAGTTACTTCTAATTTTTCGAGCATTTTTTTCGTTGAGAAACAGCAACCAAATATTATTCGCTAAGAGTTCAGGAAAGAAGCTTTTCCAAACGTATCTCAAGTGGCACAACCCATCAAGAACAAAGAGCAGGGAACATTCCATGTTTTCTACAACGAAAAAAAAAAAAAGGGAACAGGTAAGGGTGGTTCAACGTAAACATCAGGGTACTAAATACACAACAACAACAAAAACTTCAAGAAACGCATAAATCCCCGAATCAAAAACACAAATACGGTGAATAAAAGATACCTCGATCGCCTCTTCGTCGTCTACGTCGGACGGAAGTGTCTCTAAATCGGACAGATCCAGTTCGTCCAAAGGGGCCAGCATCGGGTCTTGCTCGCTCTACGGCAACGAACGCAGGACGAAAAATAGGAAAAAATATTTTTTCAAAACTACTTTATTAAATCAAACACTAGCTTGTCTGCAGGGATTTCGATCGATCATAAGGTCACATGTACGCATACATCCTAAGGAAACCAAGTAAATTCATGCAAACTTTTCGAACCCCCACAATGGCATAATTGAAAAACGTGTAGCAATGCTTTCAAAAAACTTCATCGGGAAATCGGGGCTTTTCCGGGAATAATTTGAATTTCAACAAACGAACGTCAGTATTCTCGGAAATCAACGCGTGAGATTGTCATGAAATATTACGACTTCAGCTGGAATTCAACTAAAATCAAGTGCTCGTTATCGCATCAACGTTAACTCGATTTCCGAGCAGGTTTCGCATTTATTCCAAGCAGTATTTTTTCCTGGACGTTACAAGAATAAGAAAAACAGATGCTTTACGCAAGAACGATCAACAATCACGAACCTTGAAGCACAGAAGACGTCAAAAGTAAAAAAAAAAAAATTTTCGGTTTCCAAAATTTAAAAGAAAACTTGCATTTTTTAAAAACGGGAAATGGGGAAAAAGATTCACCTTTGCTCTGGTTTCCTCGATGATAGGTGAAATATCCGACGGAGACGGAAGTCGCAACTGCAAACCCGTCGTCTTCTCCACATCCCCCAAAGCAGAAGTCAACTTCGTCATCTGTTCCGACAAATAGTTGATCATGTGCCAGTAATCATCATGCTGTTGCTTGACCACTTTCGTCCACTCCCGCTCCCGTTCCTTCAGGACTCGTTTCGCTCGCCAATACTTCTTTTGCAGTTGTTTCAATTTCTCTTCGGGATCTTTGTCGTCAAGATGCACGACAGGAGTCTTCAAAGCATTGTCATCTTCAGCAAGAGGGCTTGGAGATGCAGATACGACATCTCCATTGTCGAGATTGGTATCAACGTGTGGTTCAGCAGAGGCGCCCTCCGCTGCAAGTCGGCGTTCTTGGAAACTAAAATCATCCTTGGTTTCTGCCATCTCCCGTTCTCGGGCCAATCTATCCGCCTATAAAAATAAATTAACAGCCTCAGGAATCCATTTTGACCTCTGCAGAAGCACACAATTTTTGACGATGGAATTTCTTGAGAGTCGGTAAACCTCTTCAAGGAACGATCAATCGCGAACAATTGAAACTTCAAAATTTTTGCAGATGAGGAAACTCCAAAAAAACAAAAATCTCTTAACGCTGGATGGAATTTCGCACGCATGAAATCTAAACTAAGCAAGCGTTCGGGGACCCTTAGGAAGGCAAAGTAAAAATGAAAAGAAAGTCATTATGTAATATTCACACCTTCAAAGGAACTATCTAATATTGTACAAGGTTATCATTAAACCTTCCGTGCGCGATCTGCACTTCAAAAAAAATTACGCAACATTTTCTTTAACATTTCAGTAAAAATGAATTGAATAAAACGCTTTCACAGAAGAAATCCGGTATTTAAAAATTGAATAAGCTATAGCAATCTACTGCATCGTTGCCTAAATTAAAAATTGTGCCGCATTATATACATTCTAAAATATTACATCATGATTTTATTCTCTGAAGTGGCATGTGCTCCGCAGAGAACGGCTGTTGAATTGGTTTCGTATCAAGTAGAAAAAGATTGTCGATTAAAAAAGTCCAAATTGTTTCGAAGTTCTCTCAAAAAAGCTCATCTGTAATTTTTTTCTAAAACCGCTCAAATTCAACTAAAGGATGACACTTCATAAAAATAGGATCATTACCTCTACTGATTGTCGAATTAACGTCGCAACCTCTCCATTTTCACCTTCCTTATCCCTCGCGATCATGAATTTCACCAGACCTTTGGTGTTCCGAAGAACTGAGGCAGCATATGCTTGAGTCACACCGACTAAACTTCTACCATCGACTTCAATGATTTGGTCGTTGACCTAAAAAGAAAGTTTGTTAATGTTTCAATCTTTGCGATGGTAAAAAAAATTGACATTGAGAAACAGACCTGGATTTTTCCATCCTTGTCCGCTGCACCACCTTTCGTGATACTTTTCACGAAAATTCCTAGTTTCTCCACACCACCATCCGCTCCGACTCCCATTCCTATAATACTGATTCCCAGACCTTCTGCACCTGAAAACGCAACAATAACATCGTAATTCGCTCGCAGTGATTTGATCTTTTCAACTGAGCGGATTGTACAATCTTTCTTAAAAAAGGTAGACGACCGAAAATCTTTTCACTATATAGAAAATCAGCATTTTTTTGACGAGAAGGTCTAATAATTTCTTTGCTGATCAAAAACTTGCATACCGTAAATAATTCTCATCGAACTTTCATATTGATCTCACTTCCTTCATAGCAAATCCGACGGAGTCTAATCCCAAACAAACCAGCAACAATCAACCGAAATAATTGACTTTCTCGAGTAAAGTAAGGCTTTTTTCACAAAAAATTATACATGCTGAAAGCTTGCATGAATAGACCCATTCAATTTTCATATAAAAAATAATGTGCTTCTTTTCTAAAAAATTAAAAATATTTCCGCAAGAAAACTGATTAAACGAACTAAGTGGTTTTAGAAGTGACAACTCAGTAACTCTCTTCGTCGACGCGGCGCAATCACGAAAAAGTCAAAACGGAAATCTACGACAGATAATACAGGTACAGTGCAATTCGTAGATGAAACAAAGTTAAAAGCTGAATGGCAAACATTTATTTTTGCATCAACAGGACCAAGCCGTGATGTACATCAAAGCTCCGCTTAAGGCCTGAAAAAAAAAGACTCCACCGAGAAAAAAAAAAATGAAACCAGCCGATTAAACGACGAAAGCAGAGTTGAACATGCGATTTCAACGGGAAAACCAAGGACAGGAGAAAGAAACAGAAGAGGTAAAACACAAGCATTAACATAGTTTACCAAAACCCAACACCAGGCACTAAAGCTGCAACGTCAGCAGACCTTTGAAGAACTCCACAGGGAACACGTCCATCTTTTCAATCCTCTTTTCCAACTCGTACTCCGCCTGCGCTCCAAGCGGATCCAACGTATCATTTTTCCGATCGTATTCAGAAACCGAAAACGCAGCATAAACCTGAATCGAGTGATCGAACTCTCCGTAAGCACAATGCGTTAAAGGAAGTAAACTTACACAAAAGCCCAACACGGTTGCTTATTGTGTCAACCAGCGCCAGAATAGAGAACGAAATACTTCACAAAATACAACATTAATATGCGTCAAGGCTGACTTTCGAGAATTTTCTCTCGGGGAGAAGACGGGTTACTCTGCATAATCTAAGTAAGATAACCGTACTACAGCGCCTTCTGAACGTCACTTGCTGATACATTGCCATGACAGTGACTGCTAGTTATTTCGACAAATACGTCAAGGCATAGCTCGTTCCACCACGAAAATATGTTACTTGATGCAGCATCCGCGATTTGCCTTTTCTTATCTGAGTCTTCAAATAGACTTTCAAGTCATGCAAAGTCGTTTAGATCTTCCGTATTTAAGTTTTGTACCAAACTGATAATTTTTAACGAACTAAAAATGCTAGCAAGGTTCGCTCATAATCGCCTTGCTCACGAAGAACTCGAAAACGAGAGTGTAATAGCTGGAAACACGGAGAATAGACAAAACAACTTTGGAGGAAGACCACAAAACAGGGAAAACATACTCGAATGGGACCAGTGGAAAACCTTAATTTAATGGGGCTTTTCACTGGAATGGCTTCATCTTCTTCCGCTGTGGCTTCTTCAGTTGAAATCAGACCTTCCACTTCCACAAAAAATCCGCCATTATCACACCAGTGGATCTCCGCTTCCTCCTAACGACATAAAATATATTTAGCTCGTTATCGATACAGCGACACCTTTTCAAGACACTTACCGGCGGCCAGCTCTCGTCATTTGAATCGGAATTGAAAGAATCGAACCTGAAAGAAAAAGAAAGTAACTCATTCAAATGATTCAGGAGTCGCACGTCAAGATGTTGACCGAACGTCCTCCACCATGAAGCGATATTTTTCGAACTAAGTGATGCATCATGATGGAAACAACCTTACCTTCTAGGCATCCTTCTTCTCATCACGCTGCAATCCACAGCAGGTGAATAAAAAATAAAGCCAGTCCGTTAATCATTGAAAAGAAAATTCGTGCAGATTTATAGCACAACACGGTATACATTGCAAGCGAATTGTTGAATTTATTATTTTGGGAGAGCAGCAATAAAGGAATACATTTTGCAGATACTGTAGAGTGTACACGATATTAGCCAAGGCATTACAAACCGTTTAACATGATCCATATATGGTATTTAGTCATGTAAAATAATTTGGGGATCGTGACGGCACTTCCAATCAGCTTTCTTATCATGGACACTGAGCTCAGGCAACCGAAAAATATTTATTACGTATCTCACGAACCACGACCGTAGTCACCAAAAGTTTCGAAACTGATGAGGACTACACTAAAATAAAAACTCGTAACACCGACTTGCGTGAGTTTTAAAGCAAACAGAAAAACACGAGAAGGAAAAATCCTGAAAATATCTGGAACTACCTCGTTCAAAAAAATGAAATCGATATTTTAAAAACTTACTGTTGACTAAGAAACTGATGTTGTTCGTCGTCGGTCATCGGGTCGACCCCAATTTCGTCCTGAGGAATCGGTGGTAGTTCCTTCAACAATGGCTCGGGAATTTCATCATCAAAATCCCCGAAGTCTTCTTCAGCGGGAGCAATCGGAGCTTTTGGTAACCGTATACTGTCCTTATTGGTATGATTTTGAACCGGACTGTCGTCAAAAACGGATTCGATAATTTCTCCGGGACTGACGTCGATCCCCGAGAAATCTTCGCTATCTGACGGTTTCGTTTCTCCTCTTTCAGGTTCTAAACTCGAAAGCTCGATAACCGTCGGCTCGTTACATAACTGTGAAATGAAACGCATTTTGTAAATCATTAAAACGAAAAAAATTATATAAAATATGATTGTTTCAAATTTCAACAGAAGCAAATGAAATCGGCAGTTTGAAAAGAAGAAAAAAGGCCAGGAGCACAGAAATGCGGATATACTTATCGCACCTCCATGGCACTTTTAACGGTCACGTCGTAATCTTCGATCACGGGCGACACGCGAGGTGTCACTGGTGTGGAACGAAGCAATGACCCTCCATCTACATCTTCTTGTTTCGCACGTTCAATTTTTAAATGCTCCGGATCCGTGGTCAGCTTTTCCGTTTTGGACAGGGAATCAACGACCGGCGAAGGAGAATTTTCCCTTATCCTAGATGTCGGAGAGATGGTCCGCGATCGGGGTGGGGTAACCGCTTCCAAAAATCTCATATCAGGAGACCCTTCCACGGACCTGGTTGGCTCAGGGGATGATTCCAACAATTTCTGAATAGGGCTCTCTCTGAAAAGAAAAATGTCGATGAGAAAAAGAAACGATGAAGTAAATTAATCCTGCATTCTCTTACAATAGATACAGGAACCCCATACTCATTCGATTTGTACCGTCAAACCCCGTTAAGCCGCAAACCTTGGCAACCACCAATTTATTTTGAAAAACAGATCGTTCTTAATGATGATAGCATTGTAAATCCCATTAAAACGCCATCCGCCAAAATTATTGACAACTCAAAAATGCTCTTGCCACTTAATTTTTTAAGATAGCCAGACAAGATTCAATTCAATTTTCAATTTTAAAAGGTCTCTAAATATAAAAAAAAAAACATGAACACAAAGATGACATAAATTGCTTCTCGGGAATATTACCAAGAGTTCACATACGCATTCCAAGGTTATTTTGATTGTTTTTTGGAAGAATAGGAATTTTGTTTCCTATTACACTTGATTTTTAATTATTTTAGCTTTTTCGATGAACCACCGACAACCATTTAAATGACCAACCCCTTTAAACCGCCACAAACCTCACGAACAAACAGTGGCGTCTTATCGATGTTTGACTATGATTCCCTGAGTACCACATACTTTTTCAATTTTCTTGAATCGTCATACTCCAGTTGCGTGGAATTTGATTTTCAAATTGATTTCCAAATTAATAAAGAGAGAATCACGCAGAGGAAATTGAAACATTGAATATGAAAAAATTATGATGGGGATGACAATTACCTGTTCTTTGGCGTGGATGAATGATCAGCAATTTTATTGAAAGAATCTTCTCGGAAAACAGCATCGGATTCGACTTTCTTGTGTGGAGAGACTTCAGCACGGGGTTTGCATATCGATGGCGCTTCAGGAGAGCTTCGCGAAGGTAAATCCCCTCGATCTTTTGTTACATTTTCTGTTGTGGCTTTATACATGATTGAAGCAGTTGATGACGATGCAGACAACGATGATGAACACGACTGCATGCTCTGCACCAGAGAATCATCAAAAAAATTCGTGGCCGAAGTTCCATCGTCGGAGTTTTCCCGCGGCAAACAAATTCCCTGCAGATTAGTTGTATGTTCCGGACTTGGCTCACGCGGCGACGACGATGACCGAGGTATTTGCACAGGAAGCTCGTCGGTTGAATTTTTAAAAGGCAATGATCTATTGAAATCTTCCCGAAGCTTTTCTGATGATCCTAGAAGAAACAAAATTACGCACGAATAAGTAAATCGAGGAATGAAAAAGCGTGTGTAAAAAAGCGACTGAAACGTACCCGGCGACGATCTGGATACCATCTGAAATCGCTCCAAAGCAACAGTGTTCACAGCTTCCAGGAGCTGAGGATCAGAGCTACATTTTTCAATTCTTGAATCTCCGAGTTCCTCACTCGATTCGGAATAGGTTCGTTCTCCGTTTGTTTGGCAAATCAGCATACCTACAGAGTTTGACTTTGATAAATCCCATTCTTTCCTAACAGCTTCGGGTTCTGTAGCGTCCTGCTTAGCGACGGTTCTCTCCGCAAATGAAGGCACTGCATGTAAGAAGCACACAAATACGTCAAATGAAATTTCAAGTGAAAGGTATAAAAACAAAGTCCACGAAGATAAAGTGAGCCATCTAAGACACGGATGACAACAAGACCCAGACCTTCTCCACAATACGGTAGATAGATGGGTAAAAATATTTTCAAGGCATAGAAGTTTTTCTCCAGAAAGATTCGACCGAAACTCAAGTAAGGCTTCATCGGGTTTTTAAAATTTCCGTCAAGTACAAAAGCACACATCAGCTGACATTTTATATTGTTTAATTCCAAGTCATGCCATTTACAGTAATAAATGAACGGACATCTCGAAAAGATATTTGGCTAGAGCTCGGTGACGGAATATCAAGCGATACGCCATGCAATTCCGTCGTGACGATTTCTTCTCGTCCCATTCGGCAAAATTATTATCGCGGAGAATTTGGGGAAATCAGCAGAAAACCGACCTGGAAAATGTAAAGTGGATACAACACGTCTTTCCAACGCTACAGGAGCCGTGGCAACAACAGCAGCAGGCTTCTTCTCCGGCGACACAGCTTTCCGTTGCGTAGAGAAGTGACAACTCCAGTTTTTGTGCTTTTCGATCACCTCTTTGCTGTTGATTCTCGGCGCATTTGAAACCACTTCAGGCTTCTTCAGGATTTCGGGTTTCTTCGCCGGCACTTCCGGTTTTGTGGGAAGGCTTCTTGGAGCGGGTGACGGAACTGGCGAAGGTGCAACATCATTCAATTTGCTAAATGACGTTCGCGGTCGCGCAGATATGGAACGCGTCGGCGATCCTGCCGTTGTTTGAACAACGGGTTTCGCTGGTACCTGAAATTCGAAAAATAACTGTTATCCTTGGATTTTAAGGAAAAAATGAGTAAACATAACTCTTCAATCTGAAATGTTTCTACGTTCCAGAAGAAACGCGAAAGCAATCCCTAGGACACGATTGATAAACTCACTATGCAGAGCCACTTAAGGAGTCCTGAATTTCAAAGAAGTCGAATAAAACTGAAGTTCAAGCGTCACTGTCGCTACCTCAAGATTTCAAGAACATTCCATGTCACAACAGTGAGCTTAAACATGAGGCGAACATTTCATTTCTAAGAATGTCAGAAAACGAAGAGTTTCCAACAAAATTATAATATGAATTTTTATTTTCAACGAATCAGGCAAAACATTGTAAATTTTCAACATCCCATCATAAAAAATGGCTCAAAATCCTTTGTACCAGTCATGAGAGCTTGACATCGATCTTTTCAAAAATTCCCTTCACACACAGTAGAAGAGGCCGTTGCGAACGACTAAGAGCTATTTTTTCATACAAAGCTCACGCCTAATTCTCAAAATTAGTTTCCGGAAAAATTCCATACCTTGAGGGCTCATAGAGCTTCAATACCCGAAAAAACGTTGCTACAGAATGCTGAGATGCCTTTATTCCAAGATGAAGAATACATTCCATCACACTGGTAAAAACCTCAGAAAATATCCACAAAAAGTATGCACAGTACTTAGTTCTAGTGCTTCTCAATGGGATATCCTTGACGCGAAAAAGAGAGTGGTCGCGAATTAGGAAAATCTAGATAAATGGTATTGAACATTTGAAAGACCACTGATGAACATAAAATTAGCTTTGCACCATTTTCGGGCCGAATTACAAGAACGCTACACATGAACAAATGAACAATAAAGAAAAAAAGAATCTATCAATACAAAACCGGGGCCAAAAAAAATTCAAGAAATTTTTGAGCAATCCAAAACAGGAAAAGGCATCCAGAAAAACAAGCCATTATTTTGCCGTGAACACTCAAGCATAAATAAGAAATTGCACTCGGCTATTACATGATTATTAAACTGCACTCACGATTATTTCCGTACCGAAGCTTTTCATTACTGCTCAGTACTGTTCAAGCTCCGAAATGCGCGTATGAGTGCATAGGGGTACTAGGTCAAAAACTGAATAAATCCACGTTTTCTATCCTTTAATTCATTCATTCATTCATATGCACTATTGTATATACAGTAGCTTTTTTTTTAACTACGAACGCTTTGGTTTGATTTGCATGACCATCCTCGGATTCTTCAGTTTTGTTCGCGAAATTCGCATTTCCCCCATCTAAAATAATTACCCAAAATTAGAGCGCGCCCTACAGTCACTAAAATCGGTATCTCTGCAACTGACCCTACCACACTTCAGGAAGACTTTTTTCATTCAATGATTCAATAATAATACGTGCCTGAGAAGTGCCAAGTTTTTCAAACATGGCTCGCGCGGAGTTGAAGCGTGCTGCTTGACTCTCTGTGCGACGCACGTTCGGAAGGCACTGATCGGCCATTTTTCGGTCTGGGTCGCGGCCGGGATCGGATTTCCGCCGCGAGTCCGAGAGTTGATGGGCAAGTTCCGTGACTTTCCGGCTTGGTTTCCCGCTGAGATTCCCGTCGAACCTTTCCTGAACGAAGGCTCGACCAAATCCGTCAACCTGCGAAAGATTCAAAAATAGAACTGCAAGCAAATTCTCATAATATTTTCCTACTTCAGCGCACACTTGAACAAATCGGAGAGTTTATTCAAATATTTAACTCCCAGAAACTCACGACAAGAAAGGATGAATCGCTTTTTCCCGTTCACACAACTCCCGGAAAGCAAGAGATTGTACGTAAATCCCGAACTGGCAAGTGGGCGATTTATAATCTCCGATACAAAAGCAAAATTGAAAGCGATCACAAAATGCAAGGAGAAAGGAATTTTGGGAGACTATTTCCTCTCTGAATTGAGAAAAGTTATGATAAAATAAATACGAACTCATCATCACCAATTAGACAGATGACGACACGAAAAATTTTCGTCAAATACAAACGTCAACACGGCTCACTACTCAAAGAACATCGACGGAATCTGAATCTTCTAAATCGAAATATTGAGTTCAATCTCAAATTTCACCGAAAATTAGTTTAAAATAATAAAAAATACATCAGTAAAAACCAGTTGAATTTATTAATTTAATATTGAAAATATAAAGGTATCCAGACAATCAAATATTGCACAGCATATTTGCAAATATTGTGAATGCATTTACGAAAATGAAGAAAAAGTGTTACTTATTGCGTTCGGTTCGATAAAAGTTCGCAACCTTTTCCTGCAACCCTAATTAAGTTGAAAATATTGCTTTCCTCGATAATCAAAGAGTGCATGAAATTATTTAATAAAATTCTCGGAGACGTACGAGAAAGACCAAGTTCTGAAACCCGAATGCTCAAGAAAATAAAAAGAAAAAAATTCCTCCGTTAACTACATTCGGGAACTACTGCCAACTTTTGCCTCATTTGATGCTTACAGAACATGGATATGCACAAACTAAAAAGTAAAAACCCACGAGTTTCACTTATGCTGTAGTCAACTTTAGAACTACAATAAAATACGCATCAAAATAATGTAAAAACAAAACACACACACACACACACACAAACGGCAACTACTGCTGAGAGACAGAAAGCAATCAACAGCAGAAGGGACACAGAAATTTCCCTGGAGTCTCTCCTACAGCAATCGCACGAGAAAAAAAGTTCGAATATTTCACATCCGAAATCTAGTTTTGAAGTGCGGGGAAAGTCTACGCAAATCTGTGCAGATAGAAATGAATGTCCCGTGCATTATTCACCTCGCCTCGTTTTTTCCTGGTTTGGAAAACTCGCGTCACGGCGCCCACACCTGAGAGAACACAACGCGGTTAGCAAACTTAGATGGCTAGAAAATTGAGGCTGACAATACAGCTTTGGTTATGAAAAAAGCTTGACGTGGCAGCTTCTTCGAATTAAATTTCCGATTCAGAAACATCAGAAGAGGTGTTTCGATACTTTGACTATGATGAACAAGGAGGCATTTCTGATTTAAAAAAAAAATATTTCTATAACCAAGCACGATATTAACCTTGAGTTGCTACACATATTAGATGGAGCGTCGATAGAACTGTAAATGTTCAGCAGACAGGAAATACTTTTTAAAAAGCGACGAATTTTTCTTCCCATGCAAAAAACTCTTGTCTTTCCTTAAGAGTTCTCCGAAATCAGCGGATTTCCCCGCCGAAATCAACACAGGGATACGAAATTTGAGGGAAAAGTAACCTCGAAGAAGTGCGTCCTGAAACTAACCGTCATTCCGCAACGCTCGGCATGGAAGGAATAGGACCTCGACGGTTGATCAGTTCTCCACTTGTGACCAGGGCTGCACTTACTCGCTGCTACAATCTCTGCCCTCACACCGGCCATCTTCACCCACAACTAAAATTGAAGAACAAAAAAAGGATCAGCTATATAAATCTATTAGCCCTCTTCGTTGATTATATCCGTATTTATTCGAATAACACTTTTCTTTCTCAAACTTGAAAGGAAAGAAGGGGGTGCGCGTCATTGGCGGGTATACATTTTTTTAAAAGTCGTAGAAGTTTAGGTGAGCATCATATTTGATCCTAACGGTAAATTTTGAACCTATTTAAACAGAACTTATTGTAATATAACCAATGGAAAACTACCTTGTTGAATTCTGGTTCAATCCATGCATAAATTCAAATTTGGGGTGTTCTCATTTTTGAAATACAGTATGGCAGATTTAGAGTCACTAAAAATCAAAATCTTACTTGGGGATACACTTTTAACCAAATTTTCTACTGAAAAACCCAGGTGCGCGTGGTACTTGAGTAATTATGTCAGATCTGACGAACGCATTACTGGAAAGTTTAATCCAGTATATTTTATAGTCGTTCCAATCGACAAGGATGGATATACAATATAATAACTAATGAAGGTACTACAGCACATTGAGAATGAATTCACGGAACGATGTTTTCGGGGAGACAGGAAGAGAAATTTTTCAAAAAATTCATCAAAATTGTCTTTTGACACTTGCAGGTTCGTTCAAATATTCTAAATACACTGCTCTTTCGTACAAAACTAAGAACGTTCATACGTATACACAATTTCGTCAGAAATATGAGCATAGATGCTCTACTTCCAGTCGATGAATTTGAATCCTCTCAGGTTAACATATTCTGGAATCGATTTATGCAAATAACTGTTCATAACCATTTCACCATTCAGTTCTGAGCCAGGAATATAACATGTATGCAATAATTTAAAAATCAATACTCACCAGCGAAGTTCTCCATTAGAAGTCATTCCGAAAACGCGCGCGATATAAAACTCTCAACTCTTGCCACTTTCACTGAAATGATAACCACGATTGAGACCACTGAAGAAATTGCCATGTTCAACAGAACTCGTCATCACGCGATAAAAAGTAGAGCTAGAGAGTAACAATTCTAAACGCGATCACGGACCAAGTCTCAAGTGATAATGAGCCAGGTCAGCAGCAGACGCTTCACTAGGAGCATCAGCCATCAAATCCCGTCCGAAGTGCGTCTTCGGAAAAGCTATGACGTTCCTAATCGACGCACTTTCCGTGAGCAACGAGTGCAGTCGATCCAGACCTAGATTTGATAGAAATTAATTTCAACATCAATGTGACGATACTAGTTTCAACTGCTCCGCCTCAAAGAAAATAAATATAAAAAACAAAAGAATAATTTTTTTAAAAAGTAGTCACAGCTTACCGATGGCAATTCCACCGTGAGGAGGGCAACCAGAATCCAATGCTTCCAGAAAATACTCCATTTCTTTACCATTGATCCCTAGTATGTCTTTGAACACATACTCCTGCAATTCCTTCTCATGAATGCGCATTGAACCACCTGCTATTTCGCACCCATTTAAAACTAGATCATAATGCTCTCCAATCACCTGAAAGAAAAACGAGATTCTAGACGTGACGTATCAATTCCATGCTTCAATTTACGATAGAACTCAAAAGTAGATGCGATGCAACTGGATTGCACAGCTTTTTGATTTTTCTTCATATCCAGGAATTACAGTACTGTATATGGTTCTTCTTTTCAATAATGTCCATGGGTAATGATTAAATTTGAATCCCATCAGCCAAATGAAAATGTTAAATAAATTACACAAAATTAAAAAGACCATGTTTTACATCAGACAGTTTAAACTGTTTGGTCACGAATCTTGCATGAGGTCCCAGAATATCTCCCCGTATTTCACCGGATCAAAGCTTGAAAATGACGATACTCCACGTCTTTTCGCCAAATATGCAGTAATAAAAAAATGCGAAGAATCATCGCGTTTCTTCAAATCCACCGAAAATGCAAAAATGAACAAAAATAGTTTTCATCATGGATTGACTTACTTGTAACGGATCCGATTTTAGGAAACCGAGATGCTCGGACACCGGACGAGTGAAAGGATGATGAACACTTTGAATTGATTCATCCTTTTCGTCTTTCTCAAAAAGTGGGAAGTCCACGACCCATAAAAACTTGAACTTTGCATCGAACTCATCCGTTCCAGAGTCAGACAATGCAGACATTTTGCAATATTCCGTCCTGATTGATCCAAGGGATTTTAACTGGCCAGATTAAGTTGGTAACATGAAATCGGCATCACGATGAACATCAGAATTCGCGCAAGAAAAACTCACCACATCCAATTTTTTACCAATAGCGATGCACAGCAAGTCCCGTGACTGCAATTTCAGCCGATCACGCATCGACTTGCACCACGTTTCTTTGGGATTCAGATTTGAGAATGACCTTAGTGACCCATTCGTTCTAGCCGCGAAAACACAAACATCGGGCGGCATATCAGACAGGATTCCCTAGAACACACCAAAACACGTTTTCTTATAAATTTTGCAAAATCTTTTTTTTCAGATTTTCAAACGAAGGGATGTGGTCTCCTAACAGTGATGACAAATTCAACAATCTTGTCGACAGCAACACTGTAAAAGTCAAAGCAATGAATCGACCACCCACCTCAGCGTTCAGTAACACGATGGCACGAGCAACATGCCCAGATTCCAGCGAAGCATTCCAGCTGGTCAGCCCACTCATTCTTGCGTCTTCGTCGAAGTCAAATATTTGGCATTCATAGCGCAGGTCAGGTTTGTCAGTTCCATATTTATTCATGGCATGCTCATAAGTCATGCACGGGAACGTGGACGGCAACGAAAGACCATTTCTCAAAGCCGGGGGACCATGTTTGGCTAAAGAATCGCGTTCTTCACGACCGAGTAAAGGGTCGGATAAACATGCTTTTAACAAACGCTCCACCATATCCATCACCGACGCCTTGTTCGAAAATGCCATCTCGAGATCGACCTAAGCGAGAAAAATCTTTCAGAATCCCGATTCTTTTACTTCCTCGCGAATTCTTTCTTCCGTGGCCTAAGCGAAAGAACTTTCATTTTTCTGAGCTGTATGCTCGAGAAAAATACTGTACAGTACAACGAAACGGAATTTGCACATGAATCTCAACTCCAATTTCATGCACACGGCGAACATCAGAATTCCGAGTCCCAAAATTTACGTTATATCCAGCGTGTTCATTTTTATAATCTTACCTGGGTAAATTCTGGCTGCCGATCAGGTCTCGAGCCTTCATCACGATAACATCGGCAAATTTGAAAATATTTTTCGAATCCACCGACCATCAGTAATTGTTTGAATTGCTGCGGGCTTTGAGTGAGAGCGTAGAATTTCCCACGTTCGTGCGTCGGCACAATAAACTCTCGAGCACCCTACAAAAAGAAAACGTCCAGCTGAAACGAAAAATTTCTAACCATGTCGTCGCTTCAGCTCACTCCCGGGGTTTTCCGAAACAATGTAGGCGTCTCGATTTCAATGAAACCTTCCCGCCGTAGCATGAATTCTCTCATGCGCAAAGTGAGTTCACTTCTTGAACGGAGATTCCTTTGCATGACTTGCGTCCTTAAATCAAGATACCTGTGACGCATTCGCACGGATTCACCTACCTAAAAGTACAGTACCAACATTTTGTCACTCGTCGAGAAGTAAATTTCAAAACTGTCACCTCCTTCCTGGGGCGTATCTGAATTGGAAGCTTTGCTGCTGCTCGGGACAGTATTTTCACTTCCTTCGCAATCACTTCGATTTCTCCAGTGGCCATACTCTGCAATCGAAAGGTGTGTCAAATCTTCAACGAAAATCGTGGAACACAATCTTTGGCCATTACATCATTCTCTTGCCCTTCCGGTCTTCGCTGCACAAGACCGCGAATCTGTACCACGGACTCCAATGACATCTTTTTCATGTCAGGAAACGACGGCAACTGATTCTGCAACACAAGAACTAAGTTCGGGGCATTCGCAGATCTTTTGAAAGGCACGAACCTCCTCCAATATTACTTGTATTGACCCGATTCCGTCCCGAACCACAAGAAATCGTCCAGAACGTACGAATTGCACCCAACCGGACAAAACAACTTCTTGACCGACGTGTGATGATCTCAATTCGTGACACGAGTGAGTTTTGCATTGCAGATCTTGAAAGCGTTCCGCAGTCCAACTCGACCTCGCGCGAACAATCACGTTTTTAACATGAATCGCTCCCCGAACGCGGGTCAAAAGAAATCTCATTCCACCAAGAAGCATAACGCATCACAGCAGAAAGCTTCAACTCTTCAAATAACCAGAGAAATTATCGCCATCAGTTCCAGGCAAGTGGTCGCGTCTTCAACTCCAAACATGAATGCACTTTTTTTCACGGAACGATCCATGCTAATTTAATACCGTACTACCCGCTCACACTTTTCCGCATTCGGCGCCTTGTTTTTGTAACTATAGTGAAAACGAACACGTGAAAAATATTAGAGGCATACAGTTATTACGAAACTCCACAAAACATAGATTGAACCCAAGCCCGTTTCAGCTCAACTCGAGTTTTCACCGTTAATTCGGCGGGGGGCTTAATTGTGAGAAAACGGGAACGTAAGTGCCATACGAAGAAGGTACATTAAACAGCAAGCATGTGTATCCTCGCAAAATAGTTTATAGATGTCGCTACTTTATATTCAAACACTAAGACTGTACCTTACAGGTAAGGTATTGCACTCTGTATTTGTACAATATTGTACGACAAATTCAATCTAAAGCGGTGCAAGAAAAGGAGACAACCTGGGCTCAACATTTGGATGCTTCTGTTCGAGCTTACAACGCGACTCCGCACTCCACGACGGGAGTCACACCCTCTGAAGCAATGTTTCGGATACCGACAGTTCTTGATGCGGACAAAAAATACAACGTTCAGCGTCAAAACCTCGAGCTGCGTCTCGAGCAGCTGCCGGAACACATGCAGCAACAGCGGGCGAAATTCATCGATCAAGCGAACAAGGGCAAACTGAATCATTTTTCACCAGGAGATCTCATCGCCGTTTTTCCTCGCTTACCCACTGTAGACCGACACGCGGCCAATCGACGTTTCCGAGTTCAAAAACTCGGCCCTTTTATAGTCATCAGCTATCAGGGCAACGGAGAATACTGGGTTGGCGCTGGTCCGCAGATTAGGAGGGTCAACGCCTGGGAAATGGTCCCGTTCCACGGTCTTCCCCAGGCACCCATCCCCGGTTTCGACAAACAACTCGGGCTTATCAATCCGACAACAGGAACTGGGTTGGCGCTGGTCCGCAGATTAGGAGGGTCAACGCCTGGGAAATGGTTCCGTTCCACGGTCTTCCCCAGGCACCCATCCCCGGTTTCGACAAACAACTCGGGCTTATCAATCCGACAACAGGACAGTCAACGATTGTGGAAAACAGTGATCATTCGTATGCGCGAGCGAAAAATACGTGTTCGGCGGACAATGCCCCTGATGTTGTTGACGTTTCATCTTGTGTACCATCAACTAAGACTCAATCCGCGTTATCGATGTTTTCGGACGTTCACCCCTCGATCTCCGTGGGGCCACAGGGCTCCCCTCGCGGAACAGACCCTCGGGTTCATTCGGGGGCGAATTCTTTTTCCCAGGGGGGGGAGAGTAAGGGCTTACCCTTACCCAACAGAGCGACATCTAGGAAACCCTATTGGCGCAAGGCCAGACGTAAATGTCCCCCACCCAAAACTCCCAGTCCTATCTCTTCATCTGATCGACCACTGGCGGAGGCAAGGACGGAGAGAGACGAGATCATCACTTCGCCTTCAGCTCTTGACCAAGACACTTGTCTTAATCTGTTGACCTCCTGACATCTGTGTAACTGTTTGTGAAAGAAATAGACTCTGTGTTCGTGAAGAAGTCCCTTTATTCTACAAACTCTTATTGGGGGCTCGAGCCGTCAATATAGACCACTTCACGGAGACACGTTCAGCTTTATGGTTCGAAACACCGAGAACTCCCGTCAAGCCGCTGCCTACGCCGACGCAATCCGTGAGTCCAACGCCATGAGTGAGTCCAGTGACCCCAGCGACTCACACGCGATCGCTCCAACGACCGAGGGGGCCCCTGGTGCCACGCCCGCGGGTGCTTCACGCTCCATGATCACCGCATCCTCGTCCGGGTCGTCCTCGTCCAGCGTCTGGGAATCCCTACCCATCGAGACCCTGCATTTCCTCGCCGAGACCTACCGTCTCGGACATCCGGAGATCGCCACGAAGTCGCAGTATGCAGCACAGCTCGACCGTTTCCAGGTACCCCTTTCCGCTCTCCTTGCTTTTCCGCGTCCATCCGTGCCGGGGACATCACCATCGCAGCTAGTGCCCGTTCACGAAGGCGCACATACTCGGTTGCCGGCCATGCCACCGCGCTGGTTTTCCGAGCCTCAAATTCCAGAACTACCGAAGCAGCAGGCCGAGGAGGAATTTGAGGACTATGCAATGCGTCTGCGTAATCGTTTGGATATCGACAACATTAACGACGGACATCGGGTACGCTGCCTGATGGATAATACCCTACCGGACATCCAATCCACAGCGCACCGCCTGTACAAACGCGGCATCACGGAATTCGAGCCGCTCGTTGCAGCCATCGCCAGTCGCCATCCCACTCCGCATCTGGACCGCCTTGACGTTTTTCGCAAAATGACGCCCCGCGACGGGGAAAGTTTCCTGAGCTTCGCCGAAAGACTGCGGGACCAGTACGAGACCTTTCTTCAGTTTCCGGCCGATCTTCTCGACGCCGGAGAACCCTTTTTGCAGCAGATCCTGATGGAGCAACTTCTTCGATCGGCCGACGGAGGGCTGAAAGACGAACTCAAAAAGAAGTGGCTCAAGAACCGCAAGATGACGTGGGAAGAGATGGTGGAGATCGCCGAAGCTTATCGCCTGAATCATCGCGGTAAGACGACTTCTGCTCCTTCTTCCAAAACCGGCTTCCGAAACCGCCTGAACTTACCGCCGCGGCAAGCAAGATGACGTGGGAAGAGATGGTGGAGATCGCCGAAGCTTATCGCCTGAATCATCGCGGTAAGACGACTTCTACTTCTTCTTCCAAAACCGGCTTCCGAAACCGCCTGAACTTACCGCCGCGGCAGTGGTGCGAGTACCACAAACGACATATGCGGCACGGTTCGCACGAATGCCGCTTGCGACCCGATCAACCCGCTTCTACCCCTGCCACATCAGATTCCAGTTCTACCAGAAATTCGTCAGCAACCGCGAGTAACCAGTCTCATTCGTTGCGATCTGATAATACCGGACCTGTTTGTTTTCATTGTCATAAAGTTGGTCATATGCTTCGTGAATGCCCGCAGATCTCGGGAAACGCAAAGACGGGTCAGTGAATGCGGCTCACTGCACCTCCACGCCTCTCTCCGCCGCACCTTCTCCAGTGGTACTTCAGGTCCTCATTCGGGACCAAACCTTCACCGGACTCCTCGAAATCTCGGGAAACGCGAAGACGGGTCAGTGAATGCGGCTCACTGCACCTCCACGCCTCTCTCCGCCGCACCTTCTCCAGTGGTACTTCAGGTCCTCATTCGGGACCAAACCTTCACCGGACTCCTCGATACAGGTGCTTCTCATTCCTTTGTTTCCGAGTCGCTTGTCCAAACCCTCCAGCTCCCCTGTTCCCCCTTTCAGTCCGTTATCGGGACTGCCCTAGGGTCTGAATCCATCGTTGTACAATTTACCGCGCAGATTTTGTTTTTTTTTCACGGGGTCGAATATCAAGGTGTTTTTCTCGTGTTACCTAAGTTACGCGACTACGATTTTATTTTTGGTCGAACCCTCCTCCTGCACCTACCGATCGCCATCACCGTGGATGGGCAACGTCTGTTTACCGGCTTCCGCGAAATTGCACGAGCCCCCGCAAAACCTACACTATCTGTGGGCGAGGGCATTGTTTTTGTTGATGGTACTCCCGCGGAGCGCGCATGCGTCGCGGACATCTTACGCGCACACGCGCCGGTTATTCGACAATGGTCGGGGAAACGTGGCTTGTTCACGGATTACGTCGTTCGCATACCCACCATCGAAGCACCACCACCGGCAACGCGCCAGTACCGCCACTCGGTGGAGCGCAACGCTCCCTTCGCCGAAATTATCGATCAGTATCTCGAGGCCGGCATTCTGGAACCCGCCGCCAGCCCTTACAACGCACCCGCGTTTCTCGTCGACAAAAAGGGAGCTACACCGGACGCTCCGGTTCGCAAACGTTTCCGTCTCGTCGAAAACTACAAGGAGCTCAACAAACTCGTTATCGACGACCACTACCCTATGCCCGTCGTCCAAGAACTCATCGACGCCCTAGGCCGCAAGAACCAGTACTTTTGAGGTCTCGACTTGCACGATGCGTACCACCACCTTCCTCTGGCTCAAGAGGATCGTCCTAAGACCGCCTTCATGACGCCACGCGGGCAAGTCCAGTAAACGCCCTAGGCCGCAAGAACCAGTACTTTTGCGGTCTCGACTTGCACGATGCGTACCACCACCTTCCGCTGGCTCAAGAGGATCGTCCTAAGACCGCCTTCATGACGCCACGCGGGCAAGTCCAGTATAAGGTACTGCCCTTTGGGCTTAAAAACGGCCCCGCGATGTTTCAACGGACCATCAATACGATTCTGCGTCCGCATCTTTTCAAAAAGTGTCTTGCTTATGTTGATGACGTGTTGGTTTTCGGGGAATCATTCGAAATCTTGTGCGCTAATTTGAAGGATGTCTTGCAAGCTTTACAGGAGGCCGGTGCGGCCATTGATATAGCTAAATCTACCTTTTTAGCCAGGCAAACGGTTTTTCTCGGGCATGTGATTGATCAAACAGGGAGTAGACCAGCAGAGAGGAATGTCGACGCCGTCAGGGACTATCCCAAGCCAGCCACCACCAGGCAAATGCAGAGGTTTCTAGGGATGGCGACGTACCTGCGCGCTCACCTGCCTACGAATTTCGCTAATTCCGAAAAAGTCCTGAGATCCACCATTCCCAAGAAACCCGAAACAAAGTTGCAGTGGACAGAGCAGGCGCACGACGCATTCGAGCATCTTAAATCGTGTCTCGCCGAAACGTCCAAGTTAGAACGCATTGACCCTAATCTTCCTCTTTCAGTTCACTGTGATGCATCAGCAGTCAGTCTGGGTGCGGTTCTCGTTCAAACCGACGAGCGGGGGCAAGATCGCGTCATAGAATACGCAAGTCGAGTTTTGTCGGACACCGAAACTAGATATACTAATACCGAACGCGAACTTTTAGCCATTGTCTGGAGTGTTACTAAAAAGT